CTATTCGATCGATGATAGCACCAAATCATACAAGCACTCATCTTTTGAGCAGTGCATTAAGAGTACGTATCACAACCAATGTTCTTGATTTTGATGCAGATGTGTTGCTAATCAGGCTGTGCTCGGAGATCATGTCGAGCAGAAAGGCTCCTTGGTGTCCCATGACAAGCTGAGGTTCGACTTTAGCCATGGTACTGATGCATTTAAATATGTTTTACGTGCTTTCTGTGTATATTCATGGTCTGACTGTTTCCCTTACAGGGCAAAGGATTGAAATCCAAGAGCTTAAAAAGATAGAAGACATGGTGTCAGACCTCGTGCGTGACGGCTGCGAGGTGTTTTCGAGCGAAATAAGCCTTGAGAAGGCAAAAAAGATACAGGGACTCCGGACTGTTGCTGGCGAGGTATATATGAATCCTCAAAGTCATCTCTATATAAGAAACTTGTGTCGCCAGATCTATCCTGATCCCGTTCGGGTTGTGGCCATCGGCGAGCCAGTCTCCACGCTACTTAATGATCCATCTTGCGTGACCCATTCAGTGGAGCTGTGCGGAGGTAAGTTGATATCGTTTAGCAACGAAAAAGCTCGCTGAATTCGACTATCAGGAACGCACCTCTCGAACACTAGACAGGCCGAGGCATTTGCTATTGTCTCGGAAGAGGGAGTCGCCAAGGGTACGAGGCGATTGGTTGCGGTGACTGGGAACCTCGCAAAGGAGGCTATCCAGCGTGCGGAAGAACTCTCTGCGCGTGTGTCCAACGCCTACTCAAGTTGGAATTTGCGTTGTGACTCATATTAAAGTCTTTGGATTGTAAACAAACAGGAACTCGCTGCACTTAAAAACTTCTCGCAAATTCCACTAGTTCGGAAGGTCTATCTGCAGCAGCAACTTAGCGAGCTCCAGGTACTAGAGTTTTCGTGCTTCGAGTTTTGATATCTCATCGGCATGTTTCTTTCACATGTAAGCAACGTGTCAAGCTGCAAAAGAAGGTGTCTCTGGACTCGAATCTGCAGAGAACAATGGAGACAACAGTTTGCCGTGTGGATCAGGCAGTTTTGCGGGGCCTCAAATGGTCCGTTCTAAGAGTCGACGTTGGCCTCGACACGACTGCTCTCCGGGAAGGTGTTGCAGCAGGCACCGAGAGAGTAAGGCTGTGTTTTCGATCGATCACCAATCATGACTTCTTGCCGCGATGTGTTAATTTTCAGAGCGTTGCGACGATGATCTTCAGTGTCGATTCAGTGGTGAGAAAGGTGCTGGTCTGCGCTGGAGTCCCAAGTTTCGTGGGGGGGAATGGAGTCGGCGCTGTCGAGTGGCTGAGAAAGGCTTTGGAGCCATTGAATGGGAACGGTGGTGGCAAGCCCATGTTTGCTCAGGGACAAGTAAGCTCCTTCCTTGTATTAGTTTCTCGTCTCGTTTACATGTTCATATTGTTTCAGGGCAGTAACGTTGATGGAATCAGCAAAGCGATGCTCATAGCCGAGGAGCACGCTGCTAACATTTTTTCATCCTAAAAATGCGATAACTGTTAGAGCTGAACGAAACAAGACCAAAAAGAAAAACTCATACCATCCCATTAGCGGTAGTGTTCTAAAGATGGGAGAGTTGTCAAGAGCTGTATGAAACAAATGGGAGAATTGTCAAGAGCTGTATGAAACAACTGTAAAACAGATGAAATCATACCGTTATGCGAGAACTAAGTCAAGGATGGCTGCAGCCACAGCCTCGTCCTCGACAGCTACGACCGGGAATCCTAGAGAGAAGGCTCTCAGAACATCAAACTTGTTGATCGGCTCACAGGCGCGGCGTTGACGCTTGACGATGAAAGAGAGCTGGCCGAGTTGGCCGGGAGTGCATTCCCGGTGGAGCTCCCAGGCATCATCGAAGGAGATGGCAGCCTTTTCCTGGCCGAGGTTGACGCGGTAGCACACCCAGAAGATGGTGCGAATCCATGCCTTGGCGAGCTTATCTCCCTCCTTTCTCGCCAACTTCTTGGCGTCGTTGGCCATGGCCGCAAGACTGCTGCGTTCTCCAGACTCGTAGTGTTGGCAGGCTTGTGTGAACTTAGCCTTGAGCTTGGTGATGGCGGGGCGCTGGAGCTCTAGCAAGCAGCGGCGGCAGCTACACTGGAAGCCGAGCACATTGTGGCGATTGAAGTATGGCTGGCACGGATCAACGTACGAGAAGACGATCTCCTCCCCACGCCGGATCCTGGTGCTGGCGACGAGGAACATTGCCTGGCCAACCAAGGCGATCGAGGCATTGTAGGAGCACGAATGGTTGACGAAGGCGAGCAGCGGCCAGAGGCCATAGAATGCCTGTGGACGAAGCATCCCGTTGCGCGCGCAGTAGAGATGTCCCCAGGTGATCTTGTCGACTACGATCTTCATAAGCCGCTGGAGTGCGATCGGCTTGGCGCTGCCAAGATCCACCACACCTGAGTTGGGCGTGAAGATAGCCATCGCTGGGATCGTGGTGCCCTCCATAGCCATGAGCTTCGTCATCAATTTGGGAGATTTTGCCGCCTCGTGGAGCGACGCCTTGAGCTGGTTCATGTCGAACGATCCATAGCTGCCGCGCGGATCGGCGGGAGAAAGAAAGAATCAGTCTTTGGCCGGATCGGGCGCAAAATCGATCGAAACTACATACCTGAAGACGATGGGGTTCTCGCAGAGGAGAATCTGGCCGGCCTCCACGTCCTCGGTGGCAATGAATCCGCGACCCTTGCCCGGCACGCTCACGATCGTCCCTGGACCAACGAAATTCCCAAGCTTGACATCGTCCTGGCATCCGCTGAGAATATAGGCCGATAGATCGAAGCGTCCGACTGTGCTCTGCCTGTCCCATTCTCGAGCGGCCGCCTGGAGTTCTTGGATCTGGTCCATCGATGGCGCCTCATCAAGAGTGGCCAGGGCGAGCCGGTACTCTCCAAGCTCAGCGAGCGTGCCTTTGAGAGGATCGCCTTTGCATTCGAGGGATCGTCCTTGAGAATTGTGTCGGCGATCGAAATCTTGCGCTCCATCGTCCCTCTCTCTCTCTACTTCTTGTTTGAAAATATTCTAGAACCCTAAGTGGACATTCAAGTAAAAGTATGGCTGTCGGAATATTGTTGGAATATTACTGCGTGCACGTAAACAAGGTAAATGTTTAAAATAAAAAATATATATCTAGAGATTTCTCCTCTCCATCGGCGATTCATGAGGAGATTTTCTCCACTCCAGAGCTCAGAGACAATACATTCCTCTCCAACGCGCTCGTTGAAATGTACGGTAAGCTCGGGAGACTGTAGGAACGTCTCCCTGCCCTACACTATCGAATATCACGGAATATCACTGTCGCGGCATATGCCCACAACGGGCATATGCCAGAATCCTGGAGAATATGCCCCGCCAAGATTGTATCTCTTGGGAATCTTGGGGATGCCATGGAAGTTTTTGAGAAGATGCCTTGCGCCTGGAACACCGTCCTCCACGCATATCCCCAGGCAGGGAATTTGGAATGTGCTCTAAATGCACAGCGAGATGCCAACACGTGGACAAGGATCATTTGGGGCGTACTGCCAAGCTGGACGTATTCCGGAATCTCTGGTGCTGTAAGAGCCTAGTAACGTGGAACTTGATGTTCCAGGCATATGCCCAGAGGGGGGATCTTTGCGAGGGGAGGAGCTTGTTCTTGGCCATGCCCAAGAGACATGGATTCTCTTGGAACGCGCTGTTGCTACTCGCGGCTAGAGATTGCGATGGCAACGAGGCGCGAGAGATCTTCGTGGCGATGCCAATGTGGGATCAAGTGTCCTGGAACACGATGATCTCGGTTAGCAGCCAGGATGATCGATCGAAACAGACCTTCGACGCTGCTCCTCAGCGAGATGCCGTGTCCTGGACCGCGCTGGTGAGTTCCTGCTCGCGCCTGCTGGCCCGAGAGGTTGTGGAGAGGATGCCGCAGCACGATCTCGTCGTGCTCACCGCGATGATCCAGGCCTATGCCCGAGAGCGGCGATGTGAAGAACACCCAGAAAATCTTCTTTCGCCAGATCCTGGAACGCAATGATTGCCGCCTACTCGAGATGCGATGCCCAGCCGCCCACGAGATCGTTGTCAGATGAGCCTGGTTTCTGAGATCTGATGTTGAGAGCCTTTGCTCGAGCTGGATCCGTCGAGGACGGCAAGCTCCAGTTTGATGCGATGAGACAGCGTCTTGGAGCTGGCTGCTCTCGGCGTTTGCTCACCGGGGACAGTCGATCGAAGAGGTCAGAGCCGTGATCCACAGAATTCCTGGGAGGGATCTCTTGTCGTGGAACTTGATGATCGTTGCGTGCGGGCAGAACGGCCTGATAGAGGAAGCGATCGTGAGCTTCACACAGATTCCAGAGCGAAATATTCTCACCTGGAATGCGATGGCGAGCACTTACGCGCACAATGGTCTGCTGGACAGTGCCAGGAACATCATCGATTCGGGGCAAGAGCTGGACTCCATGTCATGGAACGTCTTGATCACCGCGATCGCGCAGAGCGGGAACTGCGAGCGAGATATCGAAATATCTCGCGAGATGCTACTGCGCGGCAGTGATCCCGACGGCGTGACGATCCTCGCGATGCTCACCGGATGTGGCCATGCCGGGAAAATCCAAGACGCGATCGATCTCTTCCGCTCCATGGCCATGGATTTCCACCTGGAGCGGCTGCCAGAGCATCTCCACTGCCTGATTGATGCCCTGGGCCGGGTGAAGCTGCTCGACGAAGCGGCGGAGCTCGCCCAGATTGCAAGAAAAGGAGACGCCATCGCACGGAGGACGCCTGTGAGATCCACGGCGAAGAGAATCGAGGGACGCGAGCGGCGTGCCGCGTTCTTGATCTCCTCCTCCAACGCATTGAAGCTGCCCTAAAATATCTTTTCCCGCCAAAGTCAAGGCTTTAAATTTATAAAAAGACCTTTACCTTCCATTCCACACCTAACGCCACGCGCTATCCACGTGGGCCTTTTAAGACCGTTAGATCGAGTTTCTAGGGTTTATGCGCTCTTTGCTTTAGATTCACTGCAGAGCTCTGGCTATGGATCCCTCGGCGGAAGCGTATCACCACCACCATCACCACTACACGGAGTTCGTGCCGCCGGATCACGGCCATCGCTACTCGACTTGGACGATTCCCGTGGGTTTGTTCTTGGTCTACCTTACATTCAAGCTCCTCTCGAGGCCGCGGCTACCGCCGGGGCCAAAGCCATGGCCGATCATCGGGAGCCTCCATCGCGTGTCGCCGGTGAGATTTCGATGCTTCATGGACTGGGCGGAGAAGCACGGGCCGATCATGTCAGTGTGGATGGGGACGAATCTCAATGTGGTAATTTCCAATGCCGAGCTCGCCAAGGAGGTGCTCAAGGAGAAGGACAAGGAGCTCGCATCGCGGCCGCTCACGCGCGCTGCCGCTAGGTTCTCCAGGAACGGCCAGGATCTCATCTGGGCCGACTATGGCGACCACTATGTCAAGGTGAGAAGGGTTGTGAGAACTCTAGAATTTCTTTCTTCCTTCTTCGCTGACAATGGTGATGGATTCGTGAAGGTGAGGAAGCTGTGTACGCTGGAGCTCTTCACGCCCAAGAGACTCGAGTCCCTGCGATGGATCCGCGAGGAGGAAGTGGGCGCTATGGTGAAGTCCATCTTCCAGGACGTGAAGAACAATGGTGGCGCGGCGGTGACCGTGAAGAACTACGTCTCGGCGGTGGCGTTCAACAACATCACGAGGATCGTCTTCGGGAAGAGGTTCGTGGACGAGAATGGAGAGATGCTGCCGCAGGGCGTGGAGTTTAAGGCGATCATCTCGCAGGGGATGAAGCTCGGGGCGTCGCTCACCATGGCGGAGCACATCTCCTTCATCCGCTGGATGTTCCCACTCCAGGAGGAGGAATTCGCCAAGCACGGCGCCAGGAGAGACAGCCTCACCAAGGAGATCATGGAAGAGCACGCGCTGGAGAAGAAGAAGAGTGGAACGAGCCAGGAACACTTCGTGGACGCGCTGCTCAATCTCAAGGACCAGTATGGTCTCAGCGAGACCACCGTGATCGGCCTCCTTTGGGTGAGTTCCTTCTCCGAGAGATCTTTCTCGCTAGAACTTGGAGCTCGAAAGTTGACAGTCTGTTCTTCGTGGATTTCCAGGACATGATCACCGCGGGGATGGACACCACGGCCATATCAGCCGAGTGGGCGATGGCCGAGATCATCAAGCACCCGAAAGTCCAGGAGAAAGCTCACGAGGAGATGGACCGAGTGATCGGAAAGGAGCGGATCATCACCGAGGTGGACGTCCAGCAGCTGCCATACCTCCAGAGCATCGTTAAAGAGGCACTCCGGCTCCACCCAACGACGCCGCTCATGCTCCCACACAAGGCCACCACCCGCGTCAAGATCGGAGGCTACGACATCCCCAAGGGGACCATCGTTCACGTCAACGTTTACGCGATCGGGCGAGACCCCAAGGTGTGGAAGCGAGCGTCGGTGTTTCGCCCCGAGCGGTTCCTGGAAGAGGACGTTGATATCAAAGGCCACGACTACAGGCTCCTACCTTTCGGCGCTGGCCGGAGGATCTGTCCGGGAGCTCAGCTCGGCCTCAACATGGTCCAGCTCATGGTTGCTCGGCTTCTCCACCAATTCTCCTGGGCACCACCGCCGGGAGTGAAGCCCGAGAAGATCGACCTCACGGAGCGTCCGGGTGTTGTGACGTTCATGGCGAATCCTGTCCAAGCTGTCGCGACGCCGCGCCTTGCCGAGAAGCTTTACGAGTGAACTTCTGTCCGGGTGAGTCGTTGATATACGTGTGCTACTTATAAGCCTTTTTGTTGTTGTATAAGCCTTCGAAAGACAATCAAACAATCAAGCCGAGCTCGTTTGCTATGGGAAGATTGATTCGATGTTGTTGTGGACGTAGTTTAATTGGGCTTCGAGGCTGTCCATGACTTGAGCGTTCCGGACGACAATCTGTACAAGCCGAGAGTTTTCTTCCTGAGTATTTTTCTTTTTTCTTTTTCTTAGATTTGTGAGTACCTGGCGCAATCGCTCTTGCTCTGCTGCGTCCCGACGCTTTTCGATCAGCGGGTCTCGGAATGTGGCTCTCGCTTTGATTTTCATGCTCTGCGAGAGACAACCGTGAGAAAAACTTAGCAGCGAGAGGGAACAGTCTGTGACTTGCCGCTTCAATGGCATTTCGTTTCTCCTGAAGATCCGCTATTGTGTAGAGCGAGGCTGAGTTTTCTCGCATAGCACCTGTTTGTTCCAGGAAAAGAGAAGGAAAGAAATTCAAGCTAGATGGACAAAGCTAGAGCTTACGTGCAAGCTCGTCAGTGGCATCGTCCAAATTGCGGCTCAACTCGCCAAGCTCGGCACTGTACTCTGCTTCTTGCTGCTTGACTCTATCCTTAAGCTCTAAAGTGTCCCTCCTGACACGTATAAGCTCCACAACGGAGAGGTCAATCACCTGGAAATACCAATGAGCAAACACCAGCGAGGAAAAGAAAAAAAAATGGAAAAGCTTGGCAAACCTGTCCAAATCTGAGCATTTGCACGTCAATGACTCTTTGCTCCGTATCAGTAGTGTTTTCTTCCTCAGCTTTTCGTTCACGGACCAGTGCCGCGTACTCCTTTCGCAGGTCCTTTTGCAATCTCCTCAGTGCCGCCTTCTCGGCTACATGCCTCTCAATCGTCGCTCTCAGTTGCTTCAACGAGGCGTTTGTAAAGACGAGGCCACCGGACAGGTCTTTGGGAATCGCGGCATTTTCGATGTACTCGACCTGTGGCACGCCAGTAAGCTGGAAATCAACGATAAGGGGAGAATACTAACTTGATGCATGTAAAGTGTGACTGCGACGTCGATCTGATTCAAGGCAGTCTGCTTCTGTTTCTGAAACTCCCCTAGCTCGCGTTTGATTGTCTCGAGAGCAACGTCTATTCCTTTCTTCTTCTTCAACTTCGTCTCTTTCTCTCTTTGCATGCCTGTGGCGCACCGATGTTAGCAAAGCGAAACGTAAACACAAGAAAGATCTTACTGTCTAGAAGTTTCACGTTCTCCACGAGGGCTTCGTCGACGTCAAGACGTCTTTCACGTAGAGCAAGAACGCTTGCATACAGGGACTCCTCGCATCCGCTGGGACATACTTCGGGTGTCTGAAAAAGAACTCACTGCATTTTGTTCCATTGCATGCGCTACAAACCTCTTCTTCTTCAAAATCTTCATCGGAGCCTCCTTCTTCCAAATCCGATTCCTCTTCCGAATCCGATTCTTCACCAGGTTCTTTTGGTTTCGGTCGTTTGATCTTCTTTGTGTAGATTTTCTGAAGAGTGTCCCTGAACGGATTGTTTTCTCCCATCATTTGCTCAAACTCCACCAAGAGCTGCACATAGACCATAACCAAACTAGCAAAACAACAGTTTTACTGCGAACCTGTTGCTTCTTGTCTTGCAATCCAGCCACCTCTTGCTTTTTCAACTCCACAGCTTTTTCTTGGTCGCTTATTTTCGACTGTTCACAAAAAATTTAAAAATCTATTGCTGATCCTGGCATCATTGACAACAGATCTTACTAATAGGTCCTCCGCTTCAAGCAGCTTAGCAGTATGGCGATTTTGTAGAGCTTGCTCCTTGGGTTGAAGTGTTTGAAGAAGTCTAAGCTCCTGAAACATCAATGCTCGAGACAAACACTTGGAAAGAGAACAGAAGCGTGTACAGAGAACTTACTTGATAAAGGATGAGCATCTTCAGTTCAGCACCCTTGATTTTTACGTCGAGCGTAAACCTCCGATTCCTCAAGTCCTCCAAATCACTATCAAATGTAGAGATGAGCAAATCAATTCTCTCTTTATTCAGCGCCTTCTCATATTTCAGTTTCACAATAAATGCTTCCTGTTCAGCTTGCTGCAGCACAGAAAAACCAGCTCAAAAACCCAAAACACAGAACATTTTTTACCTCCAGGATCGAAGGAGCACGCAACGCTGATGTTGTTGATGCTATTTCACCCTCTCTTATCGTTTTCCTTGAAACTCTTTCTGACATTTTCCTAGACATTTTTCGTTGAGGGTCGGCTGCCTTCTTTTCTTCGGCTTTCTCAGCTCCCTTTTCAGCCTTCTCTGCCTTCCTTTCCACCTTTTTCACAGGGCCACCACCGAATCCTCCGAAGCCACCACCTTTATCTTTTTCCTACACACAAAACTTTGTTTTCTTGAACCATATAGCAGTGTGTGTAGACAAAAGGAATACCTCCACTTTCATCTCTGCTTTCCTCTTCCTCTCAATGTAGTCGTCCAGATCCTGTACAGGTAGAATGTTTGAGCCCGTTCATAAAAGGGATACAACAGACTTTCTTAGTAATGTTGTTCCGCTCTTCCGGCGCTTCATCTTTGAAAGTTAGAGGAGTGTATAAAGGTTCCTCTTTGATCCTGTAGCAGCAACAGCAACAGCATTGTAAGTTTCGATTCCGGCACAAGAAAATACCTGAGCAGATTATTGATCTCTGAAATCCTTGAATTTCGTTGTGTTATCTGGAATCTTATCTGCTTCTTTTTTTCTCTGAGAGAGAGAAACTCACTGTTGAAGCTCATCTTTCGGTCGTGTATGGCTTCGTATAAAAAGACCATTTCATTTCTCTTTTTCACGGCATTTGTTCTTTGTTCTACCGGCGGCACATATGTCAGGTCTGTCTTTAGCTTGAAATCTCCTTTTGTATTCTCTGCGTGCTTTATGGCCTCAAGGTCCTCCGGGTTGGCATAAGCCTATAAACAAAGACCAAGGAAACTTGCATGAGATCCTTGTAACTTTGATAGCATCAATCACACATCATCCGGCTTTGTCTTCAGGTAATCTTCATACTCATCCTCTTTTTTCTTAAGTTTGAGCCTTCTCAAATCCTGTTTTGTGATGATATCGTCGTCTTCACCTTCTTCTAGCTCGGAAACAACGCTTTCACCACCTTCCTACAAGACATACCAAAAGTATTAAAGCAAATAAATGCTGACGAGTGAATACACACCTTGCCATCCTCACCATCTTTTTCTTGGGTTTTGCTTTTGTCATCCGTGATAGCTTTTGCTTCTTCTATCATCTTAATCAGCAGAAGCAACAATTACAGAAACATACTTTTCTTGTTCCTGGTACCAACCTTCATTTCTGGGGAAAGCTTTTCCGTGCGAAAGCTACAGACATGGCCATCTGTTCGGAATGCATGCAAAACAATATGCTCAACCTGCACTAGAAATTCTGACTATTAGAATAAACGCAAGGACAACGCAGACCTCCAGAGGATCGAGCAGAAATGCCCGAAGCTTGGACAGTGCAATCTCGCTCCTTTCACTCTCCCATTGCAATTCTTCGCGAGCACTTCTTACTTTCTCCTTGATCTCGTTTTCGAGTATACTGTAAAAATAAGCCATGACTAAAATACTAAAATACTCGAAAGTTCTTACCCCCTCAAACTCGAGTCTATCTCAAAAGTCTCGAAAGGAATCATTTCGGTTGGCGTCTTTTCTTTGTTTACTTTGATAAGCTCTTCCAGTTCTCGCCGGATCCTATCCAATCTGTCAGTGACAAGCTTTTTCTTCTGCAATGCAGTCCTGAGCTTGTTTTCTTGTTCCGTTTTCTGTTTGTCATCCTCGATGCTATAGACCCCAGGGGGGACGTCTGATGCGTCTGGCAAAGTATCTTCAAGATCTGTCAAATGCAGCACAAACGTGAAAGTCAGCCTCTGGAATGTATCACCATTAACATAAAACCTTTAGTTTTTGTATCAGGATGCCTAGGGGCCCCTGTTTCCAAAGACATCTCATAAAGGAAAAAGCTGCCATCATGGGCGACACTGGCCTGCACAGTGACAGAATGTCAGGTTAGATACTCAATAGAATGCAACAACAACAAGTACCAAATACAAATTGTCATAGCTCATGACACAGTTACCAATGGAACCCGAGTAGCAATCGTGAACATTACCCTGTAAAGGAATGTCAAACGAGAAACTTGTATGTTACGCATTGATACCTCCCAGTACTTTTGCTGCTGTACTAAACCCAATTGTCCAGCGTGAGGAGTAGTATTGATGCGAACGACTCCATCAGCTGTTCCTGAGACAACATACTCCATCGAATGCGTGTACCTACAGTTAAACAATGGTTGAAGCGTAATTGAGCTAGAAAGGAGTAACGTACTCGAGCGTAGTTAGCGTTCCTTGACTCCACGGCGCATATCCTAGAGCGTCTTTAGAGTCGGCATGAGATTCATACAGCAATCCCGTCTTCCCCTGGAAAGGAAAAATTCCAAATGTAAGAATATGACGAGTTGACAAGTGTGCTCACCTCTAGCGATACGTAGAATGTGTTCATGCTACTTTTTGTGTACAACAATGCTCTTGCTTGGAATGAAGAGGAAAACTCATCGGGTAGGACTTCTTCAACTGCTGGCGGCGGGGGAGCCTTCTTTTTCTTTTTCTTTTTATTCTTTCCTTCCTCTGCTTCCCGTCCTCCACCTTCAGCCCCCTCGCCTTCGGCTACTTCAGGTCCTTCAGGTCCTTCTTCACCCTCTCCTTCACCTTCACCTCCCTCTCCTGCCTCTCCTTCCTTTCCCTCAACAGCTTGACCTTCGCCAGAGGCTCTTTCTGCTGGAGGAGTGCCCTCGGTCGCTGCAGCACCCTCAGGATTTTCACCTCCTTCGCCTTCACTTGTCTAGTCAACGCTGAAAGCAGGAATAAGAAGAATAACATGGCATTGCAATCAATACCTTGGCCGGCTTTGGTTGTTGTGGAGGTGGCGGCGGTTTCGGTTTTTTAATCTTTGGGAGAAGAAACGAAATAGCTCTCGACGGCAATGCCAGCTCATACGTAACTTTGGTATCTGGATGTAATGCTGCATCACAAGATACGATCAGATCGATCACTTAAAGAAAGTACGTCGACGTACGTGGTCGAGCAACCTCAAGAATCTCGCAGTTCTTACACGCCAATAGCACGTAGTCCCCATTAGGAGACCAATCCAAGCACCCTACCCCCGCTGCAAATTTACAAAATCTACAGGCCAACATAGTAAATTGATAGCTTTCCCAAACATATGCAGACGTACCCAATTGGCCTGTAATTTTCGAGGCAATGGAAGAAAAAAATTGTTGCATCTGTTGATACAGTTGCCAGAAGCTCGCCATCCGGACTGAGTTTGAGTCCTGTGACTTCCATCTGCAGGAAAATCCATTTCATGATATGATATTATCCATGCTTACGTTATGAGGTTTCATTGCATGCAGAAGCCTCCATCTGGTACTGCACTGTTGCAGCATACGCACCACTCCATCCTTAAATCCTACAGCAATGGTTTTGCATTTAGGATCGACTGTCCGTGGCATCCAGATCATTGTGGTACACGGTGCTGAAAACCGTCGCTTGTATATTTGTTTCTGCTGCTTGAAGTTATAAAGTCTCACCTGCAAGTTAGGAGCGCCTTTGAGTACCAACAAAGTGTACCCCTTTTCGCTTACCGTGCCATCTGTGCCTGCCGTTGCAATGTAATAACTGTTTGGCGAGCTCGCTATCGAAACTATTGCCCCTGCATGGAACTCCAGAATCTGCTCTAGCTCAAACGATGGCACATGCACCCTCCATAATGCACCACCTTCATCCTGTCCATTCCGTAGAATTCATGCCAGCTTTGTCGTCGCGGCGAGTAAAAAACGGAAATACCGACCTGAATCATCCAATGGTCTTGTTCGAACAAGATCCCTTTTATTTTACACTCCGGATCAACGAAAAGCTCTCGAAGGGGATTCACCTCGCAAATGAGTTTCTCATCTCCATCATCAGCTGCGTCCAACCACTTCAGAGAAACCAGTCGCATGAGACAACAGCTTTACAAGAATTTTACATACCGTTCCAAAGTCCCAGAACCTTATGTATCCATCAGATCCGCACGTAATCAACTCATTAACCCCCGTTTCGTGAATTGTGATCTCCACCATTCCATCATGGCAGCTTAGCCCTCCTTTTCTTTTTAATTGGCATTTGACGAGTTCGCCTTCCCATACGATAATACCGCCTCCCTCTGTTCCGGAGAGGACCTGAGTAAGAGAATTATCTAGCACACGAGGATACAAATGCTAAGCCACACCTTTCCATTGGAAAGTTCTACATAACCGGCAATATCACTTAGTGGTACTTGTCCAAACTTTCCTATAAAACCCTGCGCAAAATCGAGCACGAATTAGACGATATGTAGAGGCTTTATCCTCATATCTTACCTCTAGCTTCATTCCGGTAAAAGTGGAAGCCATATTCCAGAATCGAATGTGTCCAACGCCAGAGGTAAGCAACTGACCAGAGAAGTACTTCGAGAAAGACACCTGCATTAAGAAACACATAACAAAATAAGCAACGCTCAGTTAAAAAATTCCACCACGCTTACATTAAAAACCTCCTGCGAGAAGGCTTTCGCTCTCAAGATAATTGTCTCGTTGTGCCAATCCCATACAGTCAACCAGTAGTCGGGATAGCCTCCAACCTGCAGCAACATCGATTCTAAATTTCTGGAAAACTTCAGCTTGAAAAGAATAAACAAACTGTTGCAAGCTGATTTCCATCGTGCTTAAACGCGGCAGCGCTGAAGAGCCTCTCGGTACCATCTTTTAAAACCTGCCTTAAATTATATATTTCAAATCAGAAAGACACTGAACTCCATACCTTCGTGTACACTAAGCTCGGATAGTCATAAATATAAATATTCGGATTAATCCCCTTCTCGCACACTGCAAAGTACTTCTTCGTTGGATGGATCGCTACTGCTCCAATCCCGAGACCTCCAACACTCTAGAAAACATAAAACCAAGCATGACAAGGTGGAAGAAAGACCGGACCACAAAAACTCACGGGAAGATAAGTCGCAGTCATGGTTCTAACGTCGAGGAAGTGAATGGTGTTTCCACAAGTGTGCATTAGAATACTAGGCTCGATGTAGCAAATGTTGTTCCTCCGTGTTCCCTGCGAGACAAAAGGAAGAAAAATCAGCTGCGATCCCAAGAACAGCGGAATTTCTCGCGACGCACCTCGAATCCAAACGAGAAAACCAGTTTTCCAGCATCCTGTGGAAGGCGCTCGGCCTTCTGCTCCACCGGCGCCACAGGCGCTGCTGGACTCTCCATCGCCAAAAGCCCTAGCCCTAGCCCTAGCCCGCCAGTTTAAAAATCAATTCAAATTCAAATTTTAAAACTTTTTCCCGCCTAGACACAACCGCGAAGAACAAGCTCTTCCAGGCCGGCTTTAAGCCTCGCCGCCGCGATTTCGCAGCTCCCCTCGTCCAATCCACCATAGGAGATTCGAATGCATCCCTTTCCTCCGCTAGCGCTACCAGGAACCACCATAACTTTGTGCTTGGAAACCAGCCATTTCACGACTGCTACATCGTCTGGGAATTTCTCCGGAAGCTTGGCCCAGAAGTAAATCGCCCCCTCGCCTCCTTTCACAGCTCCTTGGCCCAGCGGCGAGAGAGCATCCAAAACCATGGCCCTGTTCTTGCCTAGTCTCGCTACTCGTTCCAGGACCCATTGAGGACCAGCGTCTAGAGCGGCCAGAGCAAGTTTTTGCCCGATGATCGACGCGCAAATGGGGACGTTGTCTTGGACTTTGAGCAGCTGCTCGCCAAAGCCGGGCACTGTTGATGGATAGGCGATCTGTGAGCACCACCAAGGCAATGATAAGGAGAGCAAAAATGGTTTTGATGGAGAGATTCTTACATATCCTATTCGCCATCCCATCATGCCGTAAGCTTTGGAAAACGAAAAGACGTTTAGTATGTGGTCACCTTCGATGCAAACGTGTTTGCGACCATCGTACATGAAATACCTTCAAGTAGCAAGTTTAAGGAAAAGAAAAAGCAAAGAATAGGGGAGAAACTTACTCGTACGTGTTGTCTACAACGAGCCAAACTCCAGCGTTCTTGCACAGCTCCGATATTCGCTGTGTCGAAAAACGAAATTTAGAGCCAGGAAAAAATCGCAAGAGAGGTGATCTTGCCTTGAGTGTTTCCTCTGGTAAATAAGTACCAGAAGGATTTCCAGGATTCACAACGTTAACAATTCTCGGCTTTGGGGTATGCTCACGAAGAGCTTCCTCCAGCATTTCTGTTGTAAATGTTCGTAGAGAATCATCAGAAAAAGAAGCTGAAGTACCTGGATCTGGATGACAAGTGCCTGGATGACTGGGAACCACGACGATGTCATAGATGCCAGTCATTTGGAATGTCGTGTACGCATTGAAGTAATATGGAGCAAACATTACCACGGAATCTCCTGGATCACACAAACTGAGTGCTAAATTCGCATAGGCCTGGGAGAAAAAATCACTAGAACAATAAATGCCTATGGAACGGAAGATTGCGCTAGTTCACCTGGTTTGCACCAGCGGTGACCATCACCGAAGACTTGAAAAGCTTGTTTTCCTTCTTAAGCTGTGGACGAAGAAACGAAAGGTGTGAGTTAGAAAAAAAGAGAGCAAGAAGAAAAGAAACAAACCTTCTCGGAAAGTGCAAGCCTAAGCTCCGGAAGGCCATCGTCTGGGCCATAGCGGCTTGTAGAAATCTCCTGTATCAGATCTTTGACTTTCTCGAGAGCTTGCGGTGGAGGCTGCCAATGGACAACTCCCTGGAAGAATGATTTGTAATCAGATCAAACAAATGTGGAAGAGACCTGGGCAAGCGAGACAACATCGTTTCTTCCTTGAAGAAGCTCTTGAACCTGCAAGCTTCCACAGCTAACAACGTTACAACGCACAGTCGGGACACAAAAGAAAAGAATCAAAGTGCAAAATCTTCCTCTCTTGCTCTCTTCCCCTCTTCCAGTTCCAGTAAAGCACCTGAACCATGACGGGAGTGTCTGTTGCCAAAATCCGTCTTGAAAATCCTGCCATACTGCGTTGCTAAGCTCTCGTGTGTGTAGTTCTAAAAAATCTCCCGCTGTTCTAGCAGGAGTTGGCCGGAGGCTAGAAACAATCGTATGGAGAGAAAACAAAGAGAGGAAAGAAGACGAAGGCAAAGAAAAATCGCTCAAAGTACTTCACGCGTTCACCGCTCGAAGAGAAGAATAAACAAAGCCTCAGTGATAAGGCAGGAAAGACACAAGGACGCAAAAACAAAGAAAAGAAGACTAAGTTAAAATCACCATAACGGAAGTGAGACAATCCAGTGATCGCGACTCGAAAGGCAGCAAAATCAATGCAAGGTACGAAGGATTGCTAGGGAAAAGGGGCGCAAATTGCAGCGCTCCCCAGCTAAACAACGACGCAAGCGGCAGAGCACGGCCCTGGAGTGAAAAATGGTGCCGCTCCACAGGCATGCAGCGGAGATTTTAAGCGCTAGCGCTTTCTAGCTACAGTAATCGATCCAGCTACAGCAAATCGATCGACTCAGCGCCATACCTCGTCACTGAATCGCCCATGGCCAGGTCGCCCTATAATGGAGGATATTCCATTAAAGATTCCGATTAGGGCTTTTGGATCCCCTAAAGCCCTAAACCCCAAGAGATGAAGATAGCGCTGGGGATAGAGGGCTCCGCGAACAAGATCGGCGTCGGCATTGCCAAGAGCGATGGGACAATCCTCGCCAATCCGCGGCGCACCTACATCACTCCACCAGGTGAGGGATTCCTGCCGCGCGAGACGGCAATCCATCACCAGCAGCAGATCTTGCCCCTGATCAAGGCGGCGCTGGACGAGGCCGGGCTCGCCCCGGGCGACATCGATTGCCTGTGCTACACTAAGGGGCCTGGGATGGGAGCGCCGCTCCAGACAGTGGCAGTGGTGATTAGGGTTCTATCGCTGCTGTGGAAGAAGCCCATCGTGGCTGTCAATCACTGCGTGGCTCACATTGAGATGGGGAGAGTTGTAACTGGCGCCAGCGATCCAGTGGTGCTCTATGTCAGTGGTGGGAACACGCAGGTGATAGCTTACAGCGAAGGGCGCTACAGGATTTTTGGAGAGACGATTGATATCGCTGTGGGGAATTGCCTGGATCGATTTGCCAGAGTTCTCAACATCTCCAACGATCCAGCTCCGGGTTATAACATCGAACAGGTAGCTCTTGGAGCTTTTTCTTTTCCTTGTTCTTCTCATGGATGGTTTCTTCAACGTAATAGCTCGCGAAGAAGGGGAGCGAGTACATTGAGCTGCCTTACGTGGTGAAAGGAATGGACGTTTCTTTCAGTGGCATTTTGAGCTACATTGAGAGCGTTGCGACCGAGAAGCTGGCAGCCAAGGAGTGCACTCCAGCTGATTTGTGCTTCTCACTGCAGGTAAAAATCTCTTTTTTCCTCGTACTGTTTTCTCATCTCGGAAAGACCAAGCAGGAGACTGTGTTCGCGATGCTGGTGGAGATCACGGAACGAGCAATGGCTCACTGTGACAAGCGAGACGTCCTCATCGTCGGCGGCGTTGGATGCAACCAGAGGCTGCAAGCCATGATGCAGGTGATGTGCGACGAGAGGGGAGGCAAGCTCTTCGCGACGGACGACAGATACTGCATAGACAATGGAGCCATGATCGCGTATACTGGGCTCCTGGCGTTTGAGGCTGGCATCACTACTCCACTGGAGGAATCGACGTGCACTCAGCGGTTCCGGACTGACGATGTGTTGGCCGTGTGGAGGAAGTGACAAGCTCGCTCGACTTTGTGGGAATTCGCATTCCCATCCTGGTTTCTAAGTTGATCCAGAAGAGGTACTTTCACTGGAGTTCTTTTTGCTCTCACCTCTAGACTTGAGCTGGTTGTGAAGTCGTCGATCACTCCATAGTGTTGGCAAGATAATCACATCGATGGCGATCACACCAAGTCTCACTCGGAGCTCTCAAGCAAGCCGAGGATTACTTACTCCGGATTGACCGGAGAATATTCTTACACTAGCAGCGAATCTGGATAATGTAAAGCCCTAATTTCTTCTGTGTGGAAATGGGAACGAGGGCGAGGGCGCTGGCGCTCTACCGATCGTTACTGCGATCGTCTCGGACATGGCCTGGTCCGGAGAACGAGAAGCAATACATCAAGGTAGGAGATTGTGGTGTTCTTTCTTCTCGCTCAAATTCTCTCTCTCTCTCTCTCTCCTTATCTTTCTCTCCAGGACGAGGCCGTGCAGCTCTTCCGGAAGAACCAGCATTTGTCTGATTCCAAGCTGATCAACGAGAAGGTGTTTGTGTTCCCCAGTTTGCTCTGATCCATTCGGCCATGAAATATTTGTCTCTTGCAGATATTTGAAGGGGAGACCCGGTATGAGATCGCTTGGCACTACAAGATCCCATACCCGCGGCTTCACAATCTTTCCACGGGTTCTGTCGCCGAAACATCGCATCACAGAGTTATAGGCCCGGATTACAAGGTTCTCTCTAAACTTCTCCTTTTCTTTCTAGATTCTTGTGTTTTCTAGTGCTCTACATCATCCAGATTTCGTTATAGAAGATCGTTTTCTCGTCGATGAATTTTTTTTCCCTCTGGATCTCGGACAGAAAACACTGGAAACTTACGCAAGATCTTATTTTTCTTTTGTTTGCCAAGGTCCCCGTGGAGGACGATGGAGAAGTTCCCGGGCTGAAGACTAAATCGAGCAATGGAAACAGGTGCTACGCTTGAGAAGTAAAACCTCGTGTATAGAACTCTCGTACGGAATGATTATTCTAGAGAATATGCTGATCCGGCCGAGAATATCCCTTTGCGCGCATGCAGTTGGTTTGAAAGCTTTGGGCATTAGGTTTTGCCCCCTCTCATTTCTTTGCTGGTCTTTCTTCGCGCCCGGCAAGGGTTTTGGGGATGTGATCTTCCAGCCTCCGGTGAGCGATGTCTGCGATCGAGAAGCGCGGCAGCCAGGGCAAGTCTGATCTCCTAAGCTGGTCGGATGGCGCGGACGCGTCGTCGGACCGAGCCACGCCCGTGCGCTTTTCGGCGACCAACGATAGCAAGGGATTCGCGGCGGCTAATGACCAGAGCTGCACGGATCCGCCCGTTTCGCGCTCGGCCATCCGGATTCTCCAGGTGGGATGCCGCATTCTTGCTTGAAATTCCAGTTTGTAGCTCTCGCAAGACAAAGCATTCTCTCGCGCATTTCGGATCACTCCGTCGATTAGTCGTTGAAACATGTGAGTTTTTTTTGTCCTCGATTGTTCTAGCTAAAGCATTGGAATATCTTACATTTTTACGATTGTGCTGACTGAGTTGCCGCTCTTGCCATTTGTTTTTTCTTTCAGGAACTTGGAGTTTTTGTGAAGCATTAGCTGCATCATTTAGATCATTCTGGTAAGCCAAAGTTTGACGTAACTTCTCTTTCTTTCTCAGCCGAGTGGAGGGAGCCAAATTTCTTTTGGAGAAGGTGACAACAGCTTCCAAAAGAAAGCTAGCAGCCACGCAGAGGTGGCTAAGCAACGCGAGCTCAGTGGAACCCAGGAGACATTTGAGGAGCAACCTCGACGTCCAATGTCTAATGCCAAGGCGAAAGAAATGTGCGGAAGCAATATCTTTGGACCACCAACATCCGAGGTATGCCGCGCTCGAAGCTCTTTAAAAAAATGCGAAGAACTAACGAGAACCATGAAGCTTGCCAGTTTATTCTTTACCTGTGTTGGGGTGTTGGGGGATGCAGTACTCTTCCCAAGGCCAGCGGACACACAACCAAAAGGCAGCAGAGATGACTGGAAACGACATCTTCAAGAAAGGTGGCTATGGAACTCCTGTGGAGAAGTCTCTCAGCGACGCTAAGCGAAGAGAAATGATCGGGAGTGACATTTTCTCCGAGGAGAAGCCTCCGCCATCGCAGCAGAGTGTCAGCAACCGTATCAGGAAGCCACCAGGTGGACCAAGCACCATTGTACTCGGTTAGCTGCGGGGTTTTTTTTCGGTTTTTATCTTCTTTTTACTTGTGTCCTTCGCCTTTTGAGAGGAATCACTCACGCGTTTGGCCTGCAGGGGCATTATTTGAATCCCATTGTGTTAACTCCAGCCTCTTTGTGCATACATACACAGCTGGATGGATTCTTCTTTGGGGCGCATGGGTTTCTCGCTTGGTACTCACTCTGGTGATGCTGCAGATGTTGTTGCTAGGATTAAGCAGCTGAGGGGAAGCAATCCTGTTCAACACGACGAGAACGCGACCCCTGAAGGTTTAAACAAGATCCCAGGTGGAAAAAAGATTTTTTCGGTTAAGTTCTCCGTTTTGTCGGCTCGCTCTTATCAGTTACTTACAGACGTGTATGCAGATAAGCACTTACGCGAGGCTAAAGTAAAGGAGATGAGCGGGACGCATGACTTTTACAACCGTGGCTCCAACAACAAGGAGAACAACGACGGCACTGACAAGATGATGAGCAACGATGACAACAGCAGCACCACCGAGAAGAACGAAGCTACAGCCCATCGTCCTCTCACTCCTGACATGAGACGATCAGGTATCTCGAGTTCTCTCCTCGTTTTCTCGCTCTTTTGCTAACAAGAAGGTGTCCTGTTTTTGCCGCAGAGAAGCATCACAGCAATGCAAAGCGTCAGGAGATTGCTGGGAACTATGATCTACTGAATTTCTCTCCAAGTAGGCATGACAATGCTGATTACATCAAATATCCATCAGGTTGGCCATTTAGTGCTCTTGCTCATGGGTTGTGATCTCCCTCATTTTGAGTTTAGAGAGGCCTGCGAGCAGCGCTAAATTGCGAGAACTCAGTGGCAGCTACGCCTTTGGAGACTGCTTCACAGACCAGTTGTACGAAAAGATTCCATAGTGAATAATATTATTAGCATTGGAGAAACTAGGTGAAAATTCCTCTACTTTAGTTAGGATTTTTTAATTTCAACTTATTTACTAATTTATTCAGTTAAAGGATTAACCACATCCTATTATCAAATAACACACCCAGCTTTGAGAAATACATCTCTTATATTTTCATTCCAGAGGATGTCACTGTAGGTTTAAGAAATTAATGCACAATTACTTTTATAATTATTTATCAATTTAGATGTAGTTCTTCTTAATAATTTCAAAGTTAATAAATTTTAATCAAAACTTAACTTTTAAAATTTTATGAGCATCTCGTTGATCTTTTATTTTATTGAACATGAATTTAATTTACATATAAAATTTCTAATAATACAATGTCTCAACTTTGAAAGGTAATCTTCTTTTTTTTCTTTTGAAAGGTTTGTTTGAAATCTACCTATCATTTTGACAGTCTATTAAATTTCAGAATATAAAATACAATCAAGCAATAGATATAACAAACACTTTAACTACATTATATTTAACTGTTTATCTCTATAATTTTATGATTCAAAACTTATAACATTACCTTTCATTATGATTTCATTCTATTGAAAAGTTCAATAAAAATCACCCTCCTATAAAAAGTAAAACACTTTTTGAAAGCCATTAAAGTTAAAGATATACAATGGACGTTTATAAAGTTTTGAAGAAATAAATTTTCCTATAAAATCTGGCTAATAACTGCAGAAGGGAAGAACAAGAGAGAGAAAGAGCTTTATATATGAATGCATGGTGCATAATTGGTATTTAGAAGGTGAATACGTATGTGCCAACTCAACATCTCTGCATGCATGCCAGGTCAGCGTAAACGTGCAGACATGACGTGTATTACACAAGAGAGCTAGATAGCTACCCTATACATATATTTGGATATATTTGCATGCGTGCCACCTCAACTCTCTGCATGCCTGCCAAGTCTGCATGAAAAGTGTGGGACCATGAGCTAAGAATGATATCTAGGTGTTTGAAGTATGATTGCATTAATGGTGGTTGTCTAAATGACTATTCTTTTTTAGCCAGTCCAGCTATATATACTTATTTAAACCATTGAGATTGTTTGTTGAGAGCATCCATATACAAGTAAGATATAAGATATGAGCAAACAAAGTGCGATTGAAAAGAAACATGGATCAACAGGTGGAATGATCTGGTCTCCAACCAGGGAAGTCTTGGAAGCATTTTGAAGAGTGTTTCCTAGAATAGTAGTCCAACTTTCAAGCCATTTATTGACAATGATTGACTGTGTTAACTTTAAGAGCTCAACCCTTTGTTCCATCCGTTCCAAAGGTAGACAGATAGAAAACTAGCAGAAAACAATCTATCCAAAGCTCAAAATCTATAATTTGCTCTATTGACAACTATAAACATAGCCACACATTATCATTATGGAAGATCTTTTATTACACAGTCAACAGGGTTGACCAGCACACACTCGATAGCCTGCTTCACTCGGAAACAAGAACGAGCTTAGGCTTAGTGCCACAGCGACAAATAGGTGGGAACGATTTAGTGCATACGCTGCATTCTTTTCCCTTTGGGCAGTCCCCGTCACTGCAGCAGCTACTGCCTACTCCGCAGTTTGGAGGGGCCTTCGTGCAAAAGCACGAAGGCGGATAGCTCTTCGTGCAAATGGTGCAGAATTTGCCCTTGGGACAGAATTTGCTGTTTGGGCAGCACTGCGAGTTGGGCCTGCATGCAGACGGTCGGCTGGCTGCTCCATCGACAAAGAAAAACTCGCCTGGAAGATCAAGCACTTCAGCAGTGACAGCAATGCAAAGGAGCAGCGCAATGAGAGGAGCAAACTTGATAGACTGAGCCATAGCGAAATAGAGGATGAGTTTGGAGAGGCAAGCGCACTTGGTTATATACTCCCAAAGATTCGAACAATTCGGATCCCACGTTTCTCTTGCTGATTTCCGGACTGGTCCAACGAAAGCGAAACAAGAACCAAATAGCAATAATTCAACCAGCTGGAAAATCACCATCCTATGACATATACATGAGTCCATGTAGATAAATAGTAGCGACGCAGCAGTCTTTATCGGCTACAAACACAAGCTGCATGATAGTTTGCATATTAAACAAGTGATACCTTCAATCCAGCTTGACATGATGCCATGATTTGTCCGTGCGATGAAGGTGATTTTCTTGAAGGAGTCATTGTGAGCTAGAGTGATCTTCTGGGTGTGCATTAGAGCATTGTTGTCACAATATGAAAATCACTCTAGCTCACAGCTCCTTCAGGAAAATCACCTTCATTTAAGGACAAATCATGTCAAACCAAAGCTGAATAGAAGGCAGCACCGGTTCCATATACAAACTATAAATGCATCTTGCAAATATCTGCTTCCCATTTTCCAGATCCGGATCTCGAAAGCAAGATTTTTGCAAGATGCTTCGACGTATGACTCACGTGTAAAGTGAGAAATGGTCACTGCTGCAGTTGATGGCTAGGTCTAGTTAGGTGAACTTGTTCAGAATGATAACTACAACACCATTTGGTGACGCTAGTCTAGAGTGCTTTTGTTTGTCTAGGCTATTTCAGCTGCACCATTTTAATTTTTTCACGATGGTTTGCTTGGCAGCCTTTTGTGGCTACTGACGTAACCAAAGAGTTGTCCGCTCCAGCCGCACTCCTAGCATCAGTTCCTAGGATTTTCAAAGCCGCTGGGCTTGGTTTTCCGTGCCGATTGATTTGTGAGGGGTTTGTGAGGCAATCACAAAACAGGCAGATGTACGCTCTCAAACGTCTGGAGAGGACCAGTTTATAGCGCAAACGTTGTCTGGCGAAGAATCTCTCATGCCATATGTGATAGTTGTCAGGTCGATGCAGCACCAAATTGCTTTCTCCTCCTCTTGAGTGCCAAATTGCTACAAGGTCGTCATGGTGGTGCTGAGTTAGAGTTCCTCCCTCGTATGGATCTCCAGTTCCTCAACTTGTTCTCTCGAGCTCGAGACGCCGCCTCGGTAACCGAGAATCGGCACTCCCAGGCACCTCACTCTACCTAGGACCTCGCTACTCATGTCCTCGAGATCGCCTCTCCAGCTCCTTAAGTTCGCACTCGAGCGTCTCGGAGCAATCCATTTACTGAATGGCTCTCGAGTGATCGAGCTCGAGGTGGCCTCGTCCTGGGCTTGAAGCTCGAGTTCACCCTCTTCTTGAACGTCGTCATGCTCGCCACGAACTCAGCCATGCCTTAGGATCACCTGATCCATCCAAAGCTGCCGCCTTGCTAAGGTTACCTGTGTGGATGATCTTTGGAGCACTTGGAGCTCTAATTAAAAGAACGCTGACTATGATCTTGCGCCAGCAGATCCCGGGCTGCCGGGCGACACGATCGAACTCTTCCATGCGATATTCGGGCTGCTACAGCCATCGCCCCCTTATCCTATGACACACTTTAGGTGACTTGCGCTGGATCCAAGTGGAGTGTGCACGCATTGACCAAGCTCGTTACACTGGGCTCCATGGCAATCACGAGCGCCTCAGCAGATGCCCACACCGCACCACGCAGCCGTAGTGCTCCGCGATTGGATCCACGCCGTGATCCCCTTGCATCGACGCGAACATCTCTATAGCCCCATGGCTGCACGAGAGCACAGGAAGCTGACGAAGGTCACTGGATTACACTTTGAACTAGCGTACCTTTGACTAATCGATGCCGGATCGAGAAGATCCTCCTTCTTCCATGAGTTCTCCAAGATCGCTGGCTTTCTTTCCAAGCTCATCACACCTTTTAAACATGAGCTCCTCGATCGCAGCCTCCAAATTGGCCTTGCTCGGTGTTTACCCAATCTTACCGAAATCCCGTCCAAGATCCTCGTCAAGCACGGATTCGCGGCATCGACATCACAGGAACACCAACACTGACGCTCTCCAAGATCGAATTCCATCCACAATGCCGCACGGCACGGTGCCCGAGGGTGTGTCCAGTCGGTTAGCAGCCCGCGGTATACCATGCCACCTGCGTTTTGGAACCATCGCTCCAGTCCCAGCAGCTGGCTCTGGAATCTACTAAGAACATCGCTTTTCTATGGGTGGTACGCCCGGAGCAGCTCGAGCTAGTGCCGAAGAAATTCGGCGGTACCGCGCGGTACGCCCTCAAGTCCGGTTAATAATGTAGAGAACCGATCGAGACTCCTGTTTGTCCAGCCATGGAATTACCTAGTTTGGATCGTCTGGATCGTTCCCGGTGGAGATGTTTAGATGGAGAGAACCCAGTGGAACGATGTTGATTCCACATAACTGAAGAGCTCACACCACAATGCCTTCCAGGGCGTGGGAGGAGATTGCCAGTATGCGATCAGCTTGGGCCACGGTTTCCACAAAGGTCGGTGCTGAATTTTGGATCTGTGGCATGGTGTACCATCGCTGGGCGGTGTTAAAATTTGGGAAGAACTCGAGGTAGAGCTTCATGTTCCTCTCGGCCGGAGGCTCCAGCAGCAAATCCTTGTAGCGAACAAACTCCAAATGGCCCTTGAGTGAGAATGGCATAATGTGTATGTGATCCAAGTGTTCTTCGCTCTGAGTTTCAGTAAGAATCTTCTTCCACCAGCTTAAGCCTGTCACTCATCTCTTCCTTCAAAAGAGTTGATTATTATTAAATAGGATTTTAATATAATTTAAAATATTCTAATGGTTTTAATTTGCATTAAAAGGTTGTTTTTTATTTCTCAACCGTTTATTAATTGAACATATTATATTTAATTAAATCACAAAAGAAATTAATCAAAATTTTGCAATAAGTGATCATATTTGATAAAAGGATTCTTCTACTCTACCTCTTTCCTTTTTAATTGGCTATGTGAATACATCTGGTTGTCGACCTTCCAACTTCCATATTTTTGCAGATGGTTAGCCACTTGCTAAACAGCTGAATTACAAAACTATTGTCCTGCTTCTTTAAATTAAGAAAAAGGGGGTGTTAAATAATTTCTATAAATGACAAGATATTATGGCATGCTATAAATTTAGCAATGTCCAGCTAAGAATTAGTTTAGTTAGGATTGAATCAAAGATTCTTAGATTAAGGCTCAGATGCAAAGACAGATGGCCAAGTCATATTTAATTTAAAGAGTTAAACACTGATTGGTGGTTATAATATACCAAGCATTCATGGATCCATCCTAAAGCTAAGCTGTCATAAAGAGTTTCTCACATCAACCAAATCAATAATTATCTTTCTTATGGTTGGTGGTCTAGTGCTAATGGTTTAAGCATTAAAGCAATTGGATTTTTCTTGTCCTTCTAGTCAAGCCTATCCAAATGTGGGGATCTCCAAGGTCTTTCATGTCATGGGCAATGCAATTAAGTTCATCCTGCTACTGTTGCACTATGATCTCAGTAGTGTTGCCAAAACCACTATCATGGTAAAGAAGCAATAAATACAAGGTGAATTGCTATTACCTTTGAGTTGGGTAATTTCAATGAGTTCTAGTTGCCTCTGAATATCTTAGAAGGAATTTATTTGAGTATGTTACTTAGCTAGAAAATAAATTTCCTATCATGCAGAAGATATAGACATATATTTGAAAAAAAAAATGCAACTCCAAATTTTTTTGAAATTTTAAAGCATAATTGTATTTCATGGAGAAATTTTAATGCTTTCACCTTATGTTTTGATAAACAAATTTTATCACCAAATTTTTTAATACTATTTGCAATATTAGCCATCTTTTGTTTCTGAGCAGAAATACCTAAAATAAACTTTTATATTCTAAGATATTTTACCATCAAACAGTTTTCATTTAGACTATATCATTTATAAACTTTCCTAACACCTCCTAGTATATTCTAGTTTATTAATGGTCTGCCATCTAATTTTTGAGATTAATCTTGTGTTTTTTAAATTATAAACTATCAAAATAAACATTTATGAGGCAGTCTCATTAAGATGAATCTCAAGTGTCATTTTATAACAGATGCTAAAAGAACACTACAATATGAAAGAGCATATGGTGGTAATTTTGATTATGAACATCCATAGTATCATCCAATCCAAAGACTCTGATCATTTTTAATATTTTTCTAATAATATTATAAACTATGATTTAAGATATTTATTTTAGAATTTATTATAAAAAAATTCTACAATAAATTCACCAAATCAAAACCAATGATCATCTAACATAAAAAATAATACACATCTTATACAGAGGGCAACAGCCTAAACATTTACATAGACAAGGAATTATTATTATCCCATATTAGAAAATATTTAAATAACAAATTTTTCATTATAATTAAATTAAATTAGTTAAATAGTAAAAATTTAATTTATTTTTATGTTTTTAAATTTTATTTTCTATTCATTTTGCTTTGTGAAGTCATATATTAATTATTAATATAGATTAATATACTAATAAAATTTTTAAATTCATTCTTGTTTGCATGCATAAAATAAGAACTATATATACTCTAGAAAATTTGAAATAATAAAACTATAGCTTATGATTTTGAATTATCAAATGCCCCAGCCATAAATGCGGGACTATTATCCGAAAGAATCCGCTCTGGATAAAAATGCTAAAACACTACTCGATTGAGGAGGAAGTATCCAATAGTAGTTGTAGAGGCACTAGCAGGAACATTAACTTTCACTCAACAAGTCAAGTAGTCAAAAGTAATAATAACATACTCATTGTCAACAGTTGATCGTAGAAAAGGTCATATAAAATCAAATGCCACCAACTCAAACGGACAGGAAATTGCAATTGACTCCAACCGTCCTTCTGCAGCATGAAAGGGAGTATTACGAGCTTGGCACCAAATGCAGCTACGCACATACTGGATAATATCACATCGCATCTTTGGCAAATAGAAAGACTTGCACAACTTCTCGATTATACAACAATGTCCCATATGCCCACCTAGAATAGGAGAATTGTGGTAGGCATGGAGAAACCACGGAATCAAGACAGAAGGCACCACCAGTCGTAAATGATCATCAGGATCTGTCCCCACAAAATAAAGAAGGCTATCTTCAAAGCGATACTGAGAATGTAAATGCTGGAATGGCAAGTCATCAGCAAGTGATGCAGGATTCTCAAACCCATATCGAAGGTTTCGTATCCATAGCTCAAGTTTTTGAGCCTCGCAAACCTTATCAAGAGAAGGTAAATTCTGTTTTGCACCTTGTGGACACTGAACGTCGAGTATAGCAACCGCTAACGGCATAAAATCCTCATCTAGAAAATCCACAAATGTCAGAATAACAAGTTCGTCAAAAATATGAGAAGAGAGTGGAAAAAGAAGAGGAGCTCGAGAAAGGGCATTAGCATTAGCTATAGAACTCCCTGGCCGATGAATAACATCAAAATCATATATTTGAAGCTTCAAAGCCCATTGAGCAGTACGACCAACCAGGTTTTTCCACTTCAATAATGAAGTAATAGCAACATGGTCACCTTCAAGTAATGTCTGAGAACCATGTAGATATGCATGAAGTTTCTCAAAACCCTAGACTACTATTAAACACTCCTTCTCTACCGTGGAGTAGTTCATCTCTACTGGTTGTAATGTACGGCTTATATACGCAATGGGATGGCGCTGACCAGGCACACTTGAGCTCTCTTGCATTAACACACCTCTAAGACTAATGTTAGAAGCATCCACGGGCAAAATAAAAAAGTCGAGTGCAGTTAGGATATACTAAAACCGGAGGAATCGTCAATAGCTCTTTGAAATTCACGAATGCCCGTTCACAATCCGGGGACCAAATGAAAGATAATGTTGATAACTTTAGCAACGCTCGTAATGATGTAGTGTGATTAGAAAGATGATCCACAAAACAACCGAGATACTGCACCTTGCCTAAGAAGTACTGCACATCATTCACACACTTCGGAGTAAGAAACTTTAGAACAACCACAAGTTTGTCAAGATCAACTTGCAAACCCTCATGAGAAATACGGTACCCAAAATAAGTTGTGTACTTGGACCCAAACATACACTTTAACTGCTTCAGCTTTAAACCAATGTCACGTAACCGATCCAACACTTTACAAACATCACGAACATACTCCTCCCACGTCCCCTCCGAGTGGATCAAAACATCATTAATGAAGTCAGTAGTCACCTCTAGCATATCGCAAAGAACCTTGTCCATCATCCGCTGGAAAGTTGCTAGAGCATTGTTCAAACCAAACGGCATCACCAAGAACTCGTACAAACCAAATGGTGTACGAAAAGCAGTCTTAGGAATATCTTCTTCGGCCATCGGTACTTGTTAGTATCTAGAAACAAGATCTAGCTTGGTGAACTAACGACTTTACCCCAGACGATCCAAGAGATCGGCAGTGTAAGGAAGAGGGTACACATTTGGGATTGTCACTTTATTTAATGGACTATAGTCAATGTAGAAATGAATACTCTTATCAGGCTTCATCACAAAATGAGGTTCACATGCCCAAGGACTCCGTGACTTCCGAATAACACCCTTCTTCAACATCTCTTTGACATTTACACATAAAATCTTGATCTCCTTGGGTGACTGACGATGAAAAGGAACTTTGATTAGACAAGCATCCCCGGTTGGAATCAGATGACATGTGGCAATCTTGGCCCCAAACGACAAGTCAAATTCAAAGAGATCAGAATACTCTTTCACGAGCCAGTCAACTACTACAACACAAAGATTGTCGGAGGGATCGGAAAAGAGAAGAGCAGAACAAGACAGAAACATAGGAGGAAATAGTGGGGGAACAAAAGTAATGGATGCAAAGGTATAAGAAGACAAATAAAGAAGTACGAAAGTGAGAGGAATGGATGAAACATAAAGAAGTATGAGACAAGGGGGAGAAGCCTTAAAGTCACATTTAGCATGATTGCACTGCAACCAATCTATACCAAAAATGAGGTCAAAAGCTTGACTCGGCACCACCCGCAATGACTACAACTCAAGCTCGAGATCGCCAACACGCACAACTAGGTCCGCCTCATCCCGTGCACATACATATGTATGGCCGTTGCCATAAAGAATGAAAACTGGTTCCGCCACACGATGCAAGTGTAGACGGCAACGTGTAATAACAGGTTCAGCAATAGAAGATAAACTCAAACCTATATTAACCAACATGGAGAGAATAATATGAGACTTTTTGTTATAAAAACGAGCTTTGAAAGTAAACACTAGATGAACCGATGCCGAGTGAACCCCTTGATGATACTCCCGAAAAAAAGATAAAAGGGTCACTAACTTATTCGTGCAAAGTCCCTCCATTACTCGTGTGACTCCTTGTTTTCCACATACATCTCGATGTCCAGACCTTCCACTATAATAACACCAATGGGACATTGCTGACGCCAAGGTCTCCACCCAGGAAATGGAGGTCATCAATCTAGAAAACACCAACAACGCCGATAAGCATGACCAACTTCATCGCACACCCAGCAGCGAACATCACGGCCATGACCATGTCCTCACCCTTGTCCTTGGACTCGAGCAGCAGCAGCATCAACTTCCATTAGAACAAGACCATCACCCATAGGAAGTGGAGCTGAAAGACATGCAGTGAGAAGTGAAAGAGGCAACGTTTCATAATGTTGTGCCAAGTGAAAAGCATTGTCAAAGGTGGTGGGAGCAAGTGCATGCACAAGTCCGACAAGATCTTGACGAAGTGCTGGCCACAACATTTTTAACTTGATCCACTCTGATATATTTGGCTCCGCACAAAGCAAAAGACTTCAGAAAGGAACGCCAAATTGCATCACCGACTTAAATGGCCCTTGGCGAAGATGATGTAATTGTTGGAAGGCATCATCATAGTCGTTGGCATGTTCAAATGCGTGTTTGAAGATGTCTGGGAGAACACTCCAATCCCCACAAGTGGCTATGCTCAAACCATTGTACCACAGCAACGTTGTCCCTTGGAGACACGTGGGAAAGTCATGCAAACGTCAAACATCATCCCAAGAATGATATGTGGCAATTACTGTGTAGTGATCGAACCAATAATACACATCATCCCCAGAATTCCTGTGAAAAAACTCCAGCCGAACGCAAGGATTGGCACCAAGAGCAGAAGGAGTTGTCCCACATGTTGTGAACACCGCCATCAATTGAGTTTGGTTATTCAATTGCAAGCGCATAGCATCAAGCAATTGTACCAACTACTGCTTCAAAGTCAAAGGAGGAGATTACTAATCTGCTATGAAGATGAATGAAAAAGAAAGAGCAAAAGAAGAGAAATAACAAAAAGTTAGAAGGAAATGGTAGATCTAGACAATGCAAAAAGTTAGATCTAAACCAAAATCCTAAAAAGAAAGAACAAAAGAAAAGAAATGGAAAAAGCTAAATCTAGACGATGCAAAAGTTAGATCTAAATCAAAATCCCAAATCCAAACACTCCTCAGGGACAATGAAAAATGCCCCTCACCTCCACCAATGTGAGTGCTTGGAATATAGAAAGGGAATACAAAAAATGTGCCTCTTAATTAGCCCAAATACCCTAGCTTATATACAAAAGCGAGTGGTCTGGATTAAAATCAATTTGACAGCTACCAAAATCCCACTATATTAATATTAGTATATGGCATTGTAGCCATACACTTGGCCCTCATATACATAATTTATTATTTATTATTTATATTATTTACATATGTTATTAGTGTATTAAATGGAAAAAATCATTAACTAATAGTGGCATTCCATTTTTGAGAAGCACTATAATGTAAATATGTGTGTCTTTTTTATACTTTTATTCAATAAAATATTAGTGTATATTTAGAAAATAAGTCTTAATGAGAGTAATTTTATTCACAAATAAGATTCCACAATTTGCCATGTGTTAGCACATATAATATACCTTTTGTATTCTTTTTTACTCAAGCTATATAACAATTGTATTAAACTTAAGTGTTAAAAGACCATCTTCATTCTCAATACCAACTTTTTCAAATACATATAATGTAATTTTTTGTATGTATAAGTTTAATTTTTATATGATTTTTGGCTAAGAGAGATTTTTAGTTTGTTATATGAGCAACCATGAATTGCTTGATGTATACATTTACTTTCACTTTTAAAAAAAAGGAAATTTAATTGAAACTAAACTTCTAAAATTTTAACGTAAGAGCATATGTATTTATTCTTTGTGTTTATCTTACTCTATTGAATATCCAAGATGCATTCTTGGATGCATCTTGGATGTTTATGTAAACTTTTTAATAGTAATGGATGTTTATGAGGTTTTGGTTTGCTTAATCAAACCTATAGTGAATATACTTAGAATGTACTTGGATATTCTATAATATTTTACTATCTAACAATTAGATTAATCTTATATTTATAATTTATGAATATGTTTATAATTATAAACTTTCCTAAGCACTTTCTAGTCTATTCTACTTTATTCTACCATCTAATGGTTGATATTCAATAAAATTAATTTTGTGCTTATAAAACATGTTTATAATTTAAAATTTCATTAATAAATAAGAATAACACTACTATTACACAAAGCTGCATGCAACACATAGCAAATTTTTTAAAATGTGTAAATAAATTGAATATTCAAAAAGGTTTATATACAAGATGTTGGTAACTGGCCTTAAATGTACAAAAATGAGAACTGAGTCTAAACCATTGAGATTGGTTGTCCAGAGCAAATTCAAGTAAGATATGATCACAAACAAATCGCAACATAAGGTCATATGCCACTTCATTGGTAGTAGACCACATCACTCTCTTAATCTATTGGTGTCTCTTCTAATTGCTTATAAGCTTTGATATCTTTTAACATTGAAACTATTGTTAGAGCCTGGAGAAGTCTTAGAAGCATTTTGAGATTGAAGACATTTATTTACTGTGATTAACTGTCATTGACTATATCAACTTTCATCCTTTCCAAACTAAATTTAGAAGGCTTTCCAACTCGAAATCAATCTGACAATTACATAAGAACGTTAAAAATAGCCACATTATCATTATGAAAGATCTCTTATTACACAGTCAACAGGGTTGACCGCCACATGATATATATTTCGGCTGTAGCCGGTTTCACTCGGAAACAAGAACGATCTTAGGCTCAGGGCCACAGCGACAAATAGGTGGGATCGATTTAGTGCATACGCTGCAAGCTTTTCCCTTTGGGCAGTCCCCGTCACTGCAGCAGCTACTGCCTACTCCGCAGTTCGGAGGAGCCTCTGTGCACATGCACAAAGGCGGATTGCTGGGCATGCAAATGGTGCAGTATTTGCCCTTGGGACAGAATTTGCTGTTTGGGCAGCACAGCGACTCGGGCCTGCATTCAGACGGTAGGCGGGCTGCTCCATCGACAAAGAAAAACTCGCCTGGAACGTCAAGCACTTCAGCAGTGGCAGCAATGCAAAGGAGCAGCGCAATGAGAGGAGCAAGCTTGATAGACTGAGCCATAGCGAAATAGAGGATGATTTTGGAGAGGCAAGCGCACTTGGTTATATACTCGCAAAGATTCGAACAATTCAGATATGCCGGATCCCACGTTTCTCTTGCTGATTTCCGGACTGCTCTAACGAAAGCGAAACAAGAACCAAATAGCAAGAATAAACCCAGCTGGCCAGAATGTACAGTACAAACGAAGACAAAATCAGCATCCTAGGGGGACATTATATTCCTTGTAGATAAATAGTAGATCAGCCAGCGACGCAGCAATCTTTATCGGCTACAAACCACATGATAGTAGTTTGCATATTGAACAGGTTGGTCTGACATGATGCCAGGATTTGTCCTTGCGATCTGGGATGGGATCTTGAATGACGGTGATTTTCCTGAAGGAGTTGTAAGCTAGAGTGATCTTTTTACTTAGAAGAAAATCACCTTCATTTCACATCCCATCCCACATAAATCATGTCAAACCAAGAGCTGAATGGAAGGTAGCAATATGCAAACTATCATGGAAACTATTGAAGCATCTTGCAAAAATCTGCTTCCCATTTTCCAGATCCGGATCTGGAAAATAGAAAGCAGATCTTTGCAAGATGTTAATAAGATTTTTTGATATTTTTGGGACATACAAGACCTTTGTTGTACCTCATAAACATTTACCTATCTTAAGTCATTCCATCCCGTTGTGGCCCTGGTAGGCCATCTCAAAGCCCCGTGATCGATTGCCAGAGAGAATTTGTGAGAGCTAGATTCTTCTCTCGAGAGGTGGCAAAGTGCGAAATGGTTACTGCTGCGGTTGAGGAAGCAGATGTGAGTAAGATTGGTACATATCCAACACTGCTTTAGGTGGACTTGTTCAGACAGATAACTACAACACCATTTGGTGACGATAGAATTATTTTCTGAGCCTAGAGTTGTCTTCTGGTCGTAACGTACAGCCACAACAGGAATTTCGGTGTGCGGGAATGTTCGATCACGCTGTGGACGAACTTCTTGTAAGTTCTTACACGTTTTAATTTGTTCACTAGCGTCTGTCGTAACCAAAGAGTCGTCCGCTCTAGCCGCACTCCAAGCGCATTTTTTTTTCTGGGGAAGAATCTCTTCAACATGACCACCTCTGGCTTTAGTGCCAAGGAGATTTTCCTTGGAATATGGCACAAGCCTGTGTGCCACCTTTTCTCAGAAGCAGACACCTCCCGGTTTCCATGGACCGTTGGACAGCACCAAATGCAATTTGTGCAAGGGAAGATCACAGCCTGCCTCGGTTTTCTACGAGCACATTGTCATTCAGCTCTCACGGAATGATGGAGGTATGCAAAACATACACTTCTCTTTCGATTTACACTCGTGGTTTTACAGAACGGACTCCACCCTGTAGTCAACGTTGCTGCTGGTCCCAAAAATTCTTCCGGGGCACAGAAGCTTGTCCGGAGGCGATACGAAAGCCAACCAGGCTCGTCACGCAGGTCTGGTTTCTACTCCTCGTTTTAGCAATAGGGGCATTCCTGGCGGCCGTCAAGGCTCACAGGCACAGACAGGAACCCACGCAGTACATTGATCTCAACAGTTTGGGTTACACTCCACCCATGCTCTAGGCTTTGTGCTTTCGAGCTTCGGAGTTTGTATAGAACTTTCAGGTTGGAATCCGAAGTAAGTGTTGGCAAGCAGCACATAGCCGGATCCCAGCTGCTGATACGACTCGAGAACAATGCTCGCAGCTTGGGAACCGTGATAGGAATCGCTATAGCTCCGACAAGCTCCTAGAAAGCAGGTCCACTCCCACACTCCCGGAACGAAAGGCATGGTTTGGATGAGTTCCTTGGCACTGGACAAGTATCCTGCTCGGCTAAGCAAGTCCACCACGCAGCTGTAGTGCTGCTTTCCGGGCTGGAGGCCGAAATCCATCGCCATCGACACGAAACAACACCGTCCTCTGAACGTTTCTCCGGCTTGGCTGCAAGCGACGAGATAGAGGATGAAGCAGATCTCGTCGGGTGACTCCACCATCGCCATCTTGTCGAAGGTCTCGAAAGTTTGGAAAGAGTGGCCGTTTTGGGCGTATGCCGCTTGCAAAGCGCTCCAGGAAGTGATGTCTTGCTCGAGCATCGTCTCAAACAGCCGTGTAGCTCGAAATATATGCCCGCGTCGGGCATAAACGGCCAGCATTGCGTTCCAGGACACATTGTCCCTTTGTGGCATGGAGTAAAATAGAAGCTCGGCATCTGGAATATACCCGTTCTGGGTATATGCTGCAAGCATACAGTTCCAAAGGACCTGATCTTGTTGAGGGGCAGCATCAAACAGCATCTTTGCTTCAAAATGATACCCATGTTGGGAATATGCTGTTAGCATGGCGGTCATTGAAACAAGATTCCTTTGTGGCATTGTGCCGTAAATATGTCCTGCTTCCTCCAGATACCCTTTTCGGGCATATGCTGTCATGAGCATATTCCAAGAGAACAAATCACATTGAGGCATTTGGCTAAAGATGACACACGTTTTGTCGTAGTCTTCACGTGCTACGTACGCTGCCAGGAGAATATTCCACGTAATTACATTGCCAAGAGGCATACGTTCAAACAGGCTCCTTGCGGCATAGAAATTCCCGGTGTGGGAATATCCTGAGACCATAGCATTCATGCAGACTAGATTCCACTGTGGCATCTCGCTAAAAGTTTTCTCCGCAGATTCCATGTCACCCTCTCGGGTATATACCGCCACCATTGCGGCCCACGAGAATAAATTCCTCTCCGGCATGCGATCAAACGTCTCCCGAGATTTTTGTACGTGTCCGGTTCGAGAATATACTGTTAGCATCGAGGTCCAAGATACCAAATCGTGCTCTGGCATCTCGTCAAACACAGACTTGGCATCTTCCAGATGCCCGTTCTGGGCATATACCGCTAGCAGCGCGGTCCAGGACACAAGATCCCACAGCGGGGACTGATCAAACAGCCTTTTCGCAGCGTCAACGTCGCCACCACGGGAGAGAGCACCCAGCATTGTGGTATATGCCACCAGATCCCACAGTGGCATCTCGTGGAATATCATCAGGGCTTTTTGAAGGTTATCGGTGTGAGAGAAGGCAGCCAACATTGTGGTCCAGGAGATCATGTTTCTTTCGAGCATTTGATCAAAGAGCTCTCTGGCAGAGTGAAGATGCCCGTTTTGGGCAAGTGCTGATAGCATTGTGTTCCAAGAGACTGTGGTGTGGCTTGGCATGAGATTGTCAAAGATGATCTTGGCTTCGCAAAGATGGCCATTGTGGGAGTAGGCTAAGATCATAAGATGGAAGGAAAATATATCCCGTTGTGGCATTGTGTCAAAGATGTTCTTGGCCTGGCCTGGATTGCCGCATTTGCCATACATTTCAATGAGCTTGTTAAAGAGGAAAGTGTCATGAGAAGCAATCTTATGTCTCAACTCTGCATCGATCTTGGAAGCTGTTGGAAGTGTCTTGCAATTTTGTATGACTTTTACCCATGATTGTCGATCCATATTATTATCATTTTAATGTTTCATTCTAAATAAGTGAAATGAAACTCTAATTTTCGTTTAATAGTAAGATAATGAGATGTCGTTGTAGTATAGTGGTAAGTATTTCCGCCTGTCACGCGGACGACCCGGGTTCGATCCCCGGCAACGGCGATAGTTTTAAATAATCAGATTTTGGTAAGGCTATTTATTTAGTTTAAAGTTGAGACAATGTGATGTCGTTGTAGTATACTGGTAAGTATTTCCGCCTGTCACGCGGACGACCCGGGTTCGATCCCCGGCAACGGCGCCATTAGTTTAATTTTAACTTTTTACATTATACCACATCAAAAATGGTTTAGAGTTAGGGTTCTGGCCTTGCAAATGGCTGGGCGCCTCTTACGAGCGGCTCGGCGGATCCAAGTGCGCGCTCAGGACGATCAGCTCGCGCATTTCGCTAGATGGAGCAGCAATCCCGCCGGCGCGAGGGAGATTTCTCTTTCCCCGGCGTGCAGTCAGAGCGTTGGCGACGATCAGTCTCTGAGCAGGAGAAGGCTGATTGAGCGGATGCTTTTCGACAAGCGCCGGCGCGACGAGGAGCGCAAGCTCAGGCTCAAGCTTTCCAAGCCAGTTGCTTCCTCTGGTAAAAATTTTTGAATTGGCTCTTGGAGCTTTATTTTGATCGATGATAGCAGGGGTTTACAATGCCGAGCAGCCTCCTCCCAGCGAACCTCTTGTTGGAGCTCTGGCGCCAGATTCTCCACAAGAAGTAAAGCTTTCACTTTGGAAACTCTTATAACTCATGCTTTGCTTCTTCTTTCCCTTCCTTTTAACAGCACAGGCTTGTTCCTGTGTTAGCGAGGCCCGATTTGATGGTCACCAGGAACATAGAGTGGGCCAACGTTGCCTTCGGTCTGGAGCAAGTAATTCCTTTGTAGCTCTTTCTCTTGATTTTTCTTTATCTTCTCTTTTTTCCTTTGCAGCAAAACAGATACGTTATCATGGATCCTCGCCAGCCGCAAGCAGTAAGTAGTTTCTCTAGTCTATGGCATTGTTTTGGACTGAGTGTTTGGCTAGGCTGTTGGATATCTTCTTGAAGAGAGCAGCTTTATCATGCGCCAGGTAAAGCTTTAGAACAAGTTCCCAGTTATCGCTTATTGATTACTTGCAGCGATGTCGCAGTTACTGCGAACGAGGAGGCCTTTCATCGCCAATGTTCTAGATGCCTACGGCAACCAGGTTTTCCAGGTTACAAATCTTACCGTTTCTTTTCTTTCTTCTACTCTTGTGACGCTTTCTGTCAGGTTCGACGACCAGCCTGGTTGATCAACAGCACAATCTTTGTGGAAGTTGATGGCATTGTACTGCACTAAACTCTTTCTACTCGAGATGTTTTAACACGACTTTCGCAGCTTGTTGGTGAGGTTCACAGGAGATGGCATGTCTGGAGACGAATCTATGATCTCTATCTCGGGTAAGCACCACGGAAACTCGAAGTTTCTGGAGTCGCTTGACAGTGCGACACGAATGCAGGAAGACGCAGTTTGGACGTGTTGAGAATCCGGGCTTTTGGAACTGGACTTTCACTGTGTGTGACGAGAATGGCGATACTCTGGCCGTCGTGGACCGCAGCTGGAGAGGATTTGGCTACGAGGTATGGTGTGATAATTCCAGACCAGCGAGTATCTCACTGCTTGGAATGCAGTTCTTCACAGATGCTGGGCAATATGTCGTGAGATTTGGCGAAGTCCTGGCTGATGGTACAAACAGAGCTGGAGTTGCTGGCCAGTACGTTTTGCAGGGCGGCGAGCAAGCTCAAAACGTTGATCCACAGGTGGATATCTTTGCGTTTTCCTCTTGCGAGCTCGCGAGATTTTTCTTTTTCCAGGTGGAGCCTCTTTCGGTTTCTCGCTCTTTGACACTGACCGAGAGAGCGATTGTTCTAGCTCTTGCCGTCTCTCTCGACAACGATTACTTCTCGAGACACAGCGGGTGAGTGTCGATGCTCTTGCTTTTTGTGCCTGGTTTGAAACTTACAAACTCTAATGTTCTCGCCAGGATGGGAATGCCAATTCCCATTATCGGAGGAAGCCCAGAACCTTGAGCTCTATTCTTCTGTCGATGTAAAGGAACAATCGCAAGCTTTTGCTCTAAACTCAAACGAGAAGTTTTGTGCTTCGAATATGCTTAGATTCGCTGACCGTTAGGAATATACAGGATTCCCTTCACGGAGCCCTAAAATACCAAGAATATACTTTGCTTAAAGACAACTTTTCTTCCTTCTCTCAGGGCCTGTGGTGGCACAGTTGACACGAACGCACGCTGGATGGATTACCGAAGGTGCAGCGCTCGCACGACCACACACCGCTCTCGTCAATGGCGCTCCGGCTCGAGCCCCCATTGTTCTTGGAGCTCCCGCCTTTCTTGCCGCTCTTCCGGGAGCTTCCCGACGCCTTGGAGCTGCTGCTGCTGTTCTTGTTGCTGTTGGCCGCCGCTTTCGAGTTGTCCACGTCCGATAGCCCCGTCTCCAGCGCGCGCATCAAGTTCTCAAAGTAAGTCCTCGTTACACTGCGCGCAGCCGCGGATCATGAGCAAATGCCAGGAAGAAAAACTTTGGAAACTTTGCCTTACCTTGTGAGACCAGCCAGTTTGGTGCGAAACTCGTTGAACGGGACATCCGGAGGATCCTCGCCCAGGAAGACTTGCAAGTCCTTCTCCGCGCATTGGTGTAGGCGCTCAAGGCCGGCCTCCGCTTCACCTGATTTTTCCACTTTGGTATCAGCGATGCACGAGAGAAAAGGCCATGTTGTATACCTTGCACGTACTCAAAAAACTGCCGCTTCGCATCCTCGTTTTCTGGAAGATAATAACCATACGCGTATGTCCATTTTAGAACCCGTCGGCACTCTACGATCTACACGGCACAAGACTTATCAGAAAAGAACAACTATACAGGATAGAGCTTACCTGCATCCAAGCATCCGTCACAAACTTTAGCTGTGATACAGGCTGACACTGTCTGTCGCTTAATTTCTCCATCTGGAAAGCATCACACGATAAACATTAGCACTGAAGAAACAAAACACAGCAACAAACATGTAAAGCTTGCATCTGTTGAAGATCAGAGAGCGCTTTTTGCCTGGATGACTCGTTTGTGGCCCATCTTTCGTAGTAGTGTGTATAACGTTCAAGCATGTTCTTAGCCATCTCTCTACGCCTTTCAGCTTCATCATACTGTAAGAAAACTTGTAAATTTGAGGCAGTGAGAACTACCTAGATACGTACCACTCCTTCCTGCTTAGCAGCTTCATACCGATTACAAGCATAAAATCCCCCTGTGCGCTCACCGTGTTCAGACCACGGTCCAAGACAAAGCCTACCACACATCAATCAGACATCAGCGAGAAAAAAAAATCACCTACCAGCAAAACTCAAACTTGCACGGAGGCGTACACGTTATATGCATGCATCCTTGAGATTTTTCGATCGGTCTTTTACACTTTGGACAAGGTTTGGAATTGGCGAGAATCCTGATCAGCAAGAAAAGACGATGAATTCAGTCGTTACAACTAGGAAGCAACAGCCTACCAATTCATGTTCTCGGATTCAGCGCAGTTTTTCAGTATCCACTTCGTCACAGTTTCGCAATCAACGGGCCGATGGGCATCCTCCAAACACTGCAGCTTCACAAAGTTAAAGCCAAAACATGAACAGCTTTCGCATACTTACGCTCCAGCAGAATGGATGACCGCACTTGCAGACAACGTCATGTGAACCACTACCTGGAAAATACTCCAGCGCAAAATCACATCCTGGAGCAGGACACCATTTTGCCTGCACAAGTTTGTCAGTTAAGCAATCCAGCTACAACAGAAAGCGACACCTTTCGGTTGTCTTCGACAAACGAGCGTAACAAATATCTATTGTACTTGACACGGTCTTCCTCGCAAACCAGCGACATAACAAGCTCATCCCCGACAGCAGCGTTACAAGATGGATCAGGACATCGAAGTGTCAGACATCCAGGGCCATCGGAAATCGCAGTATGAACATATCCTGATCATTAGAAAAAAAAGGTGCGAATCAGTGAGCAAAGCCAAGCGTTTCCGCTACGTTTAGCAACCTGTCCAACATAAACTACAAAAGTAATGCCCGCAAACCGTTGCTCTCATCTTGTCAACCCCGAAAGCATCGAAGCAGATCCCGCAAACAATCTGGAAGTAGAGTCCACGTCAAGCATCGAAAAAACAAAGCAAACTTGCAAGGATCACCTCTTTGGGAGGTCTCCTCCCCGCGGATTTCTCCAGTAAGCCAACTGTCTTGCGAACAGCTTGCTCATTGGCAAACCATTCATCATTTACAGTACTGATGCACCTGGGAAAGAGAAAAGAGCTCAAGCTCACTCACTACGATCAAGGAAAAACCAAAGAGAGCGAGATTTCGCAACACGAACCACTTGAAGTGCCGCAAAAGAACACTAGCATCGCCCTTGGAAATCGATAACACGCCCGCTACGCTCTTCACAGCCTCCTCTTGCCTCTTGCAAATTTCGTCTTCACTCAGCACCACGAAATTATTCTGGAAAAGCACAAGGCAGCCAAAATGTAAAGCGCGCGATTTCCCGAGCCATACCTGAGGCGCCCGAGTGGAAGGGGAAAGATCGTCCATGGAATTATCATCAAACGGGTAGACGGAGTCATCGTCCTCCTCGTCGCTGGGCATCGCGTCGCTGTACTCATCGCCATAGTAGTCGCCGTCGGAGGTGTAGGCGTCTTGCATGTCATCGTCTGAATCCATCCACCAGGAGATCCTACAGACCTAAATTCCAGAGATTTTCGAGCTGCGCAGCTACTCACGGCCGCAGCCGAGTCGCAGATCCGATGCCGCCGCTACTCCAGCTCTTGCATTCTCCCCCAAGCTCAATCGTCGAGAAACCCTGATGCCCTGCCACTCGAGGCATATTCCCGTTTTGGTGTAAAGAGAGAGAAGAGAGGGGCTAGGGTTTTGCAATGGGGAAAACAATTTCAAGGTCACTCTTTGACAAGTTCCAATGTTACCTCATTCAAGTTTGTGTTGAGAATGAGTTATATTCAGTTGGAGAAAATGTGAGAGAAAGTATTTTGAGGGCAATAAAGTTTTGGACACGCCAGAAAACTTGCAAGCAGATATGCTGTTTTACTTCTCATTCAACATAGCTATTGTAGCTGTGGCGGTAAACGACTTTTCCAGGCTCTTGTGCAATCTATCAATGAAATCATTGGTATCATCCAGAAAGTAGCTTTTTAGTTATTGAGATCTGAATAGTTTCTTCTAAGTTTGTCATATGAAACTTCTTGGAAATTGGCAGAGATATAAAACTTGAATGCAAAGAATTTAACCAGCAAAAACTTATTAAAGTATTCTAATGTTTTTCAAAAATAGCAATAGAAAAGTAACTTGAAAAATATTTACATATAAACTAAAATAAAATAAAAATTTCATATATATAAATATATATGTAAATTATGTATTAATAATATGCTAATTATAATATCTAGTCATTCTTGTATATAAGAAAGGGTTTAGACCCTAATTTATATACTTATTCCCATATCTTGAACACTCACATTGATAGAAGTAAAGTTATAATTTATTCCTAGAGGGTAAAGTTTTTTAACACTGCTTTACATAGTGTTCAAGATTTTGCTTTTATTCTTATTCCTTTATTTGTTCTTATTTTTATTCTTTTAAGTCTAGATTTATATAGCTTTTTGTCATATCTAAACTTTTAATTATTGTTATACTTAGATTTTCTCTTCCTTTTGAACTTCATTGCATTTCCTTTTTCCACCATACAAATATGTTACTCGAGGCTATTAATGTTATTCAGTTGGATTGAGTTTTTTATGCTATAGGGTGTAATTATATTATCAATCTTCAACTTCTATAGGATGTGATTACATGATATTTTTGTTTCTAGTGTCCTATTGTCTCCCATTAATATGAAAGCATAATCATAATATCAATTGCAGTTATAGTTTGAGTTTTGGAGAATGTTCAAGGATAAAGTACATAGGAATACTATATATATGAGCTTAAGTGGATTCTAAATTGTGATGAGGAGCCTGATTACTATAAAAATATCTTTAGAGACAAATTTAAAAATTTCACACAGTATCTTTTAGTTTACCTTTTGATCTTTTTTCTTTACTTTTTACTCTTTCTTAACCTTTTTTTATTCTTTATTTCTATTCTATGTTATCATATTTTTAAGTTCTAGTGTTAAGTAATCCTTTATTCTAAAGGTTTAGTCACTTTTGTTAGAGTTTTGGGTTAAATATATATCTCTAGTTGTGAGTGATGTTAAAATTTTTTGTTTTATCATTGTTACTAAGGGATTTATATATTTTCTTGAGAGTATGGATATTTCTATTGATTTTCATATAAAAAATTGAGTCATGTGTTGAAGAGATTGAGTGGTGTGAATTTTTTATTTATCTTATGACATTTTAAAATAGGAAGACTTTTATTCTCCAAGCTTTAAATACATTTCCATTAACTACTAAAAATTCCTCTTTTAATGTTTTTTTATTTACTTTTTTTTCACAATGTTTCTTTTTTACTTTTTCTTTTTTGCCTTAACATTTCAAACTTTTGGAAGAAGGGATAAAGTAATAGACAAGAGTTTAACAAGAGTCTAGATAAAGTAAAAATGAATAAATATAGTAATAAAGCAAAGATGAACGATATAAATAAAATTAAGATAAATATAGTTAGTTTGAATGAGATATTTAACTTTATCATAGTGAGGCCGAATAAATTTTATACTGAATTGAGGTTAAACATTGATAGCAAATACGAATGCAACAAATTTAAATAAAGTTTGATGTTTAAAATTTCTTTTGAGGGGTGGATAAAAAAGATAAATAGAGTGAGTCAAACTTCCTATATGTGGTGTTGCAAAAAAATAAATATTGTGAATCTAAATTAACATGGGCTAAGTTGACCAAAAGTAAAACACAAAAATAAGTTTTTTTCATAGTTGTAAATCTGAATTAATGATAATTTTAAAGGATGGTCAATAAACAGGTTTAGAGATATAATATATTGTTTGTTACAATGGTTAAACATTAAACCCATTTATCATGAGCAATATATTTTTATAAAAAATATAAATAAAAATATCTTATTAATAAAACTGTATTTATTTATATATTTATATATTATCCATCCAGATACACTCTAATCTCAATGTAAATATCCTCCAATGATATACCCACAGCTTTTTCAATCATAGAAGCTAATAAAATCCGTGTGATTGATGTTGAAACATATCTAAATGCAACTTCTATATGTACTTATTTCCACTATACTGTAGTAAATATTTAAATATGCAAATGTTATAAAAAAAATTCAACTTTATATTTTAATTATTTATTATTTATTTAATATAGTGCCTAGTCACTACAAAACAAAAATATATGTGTCATAAAAAATTTGGTTAGTATATTAATAACTTAAAGATTTATTATTTTTAAGAATTTAAAAATTACCTAATTTATGTAAATAATAATCATTATATCTTTATTTATAAAGTTTTTTTACGAGGTATTTATTTTTTAGCCTCAAACACCATTGACTTTATTTATTATATATTTAATTCCTCTAATTATATCTTTAATTAAATTTATATATATAAATATATTATACCACCCAAACATGTTTCACATGACCAAAAACTTTTTAAAATTGTGATATAATTCAAATTTCAAAATTAATTAAATTTTGAACTATTTAATTGTGGAAGTTGAATTTTTTAGAAGTTACATTATAGAATGCAAATTTTTTTAACTAATCAAACTCTAAATTTACATAACTTATATTGAAAAATTTATTGTGTAACATATTATATTACAACTCAAGACAAAAAGGCATTACATAATTGTATATGATTGGAAAAAAAATAAACACATAATCTTAACACATGTTTTGCCACATTATAGATAATCCCATAATGAATTGAACTAATTCAATTTTATTTCTCAAGAATTAAAGTTAAAATATGTGTCCAAACCAAAAGCATTAACAAGTTATGAGATACTAACACTCTAAAAAATCTGGAGACAAAGTTTCTTTGACGGTTTTTTATATTAATCTTTTCACAGATTAGATTTTCCTTTCCCATTTTATTTCTTTCGCTATGCACTAGCTCCACCACTGCCAGCATAAATCCCCGATGGATCTGCATTAGCAGTAATCCATGGATGAGCGAGAAGTTCTTTCAGAGGAAGTCTTTGCGAAGAATCCTTGCATAGAAGCTGCAAACGACGATGGATCAGCAAAGTTCTTTGTGTGAGAAGTTCAGTACCTGGCATATGAGATCTTTTGCCGCTGTAGAGATCACTGGCTTGATTGGAAACTTCAAATCCACTCGGACAATGCTGCACACGGTTGATCAAAGTAAAATAGCTAGAAATCAAATACGTCTTCTTCTGTACCGTCTGTAGGTATCCGACAGTTTCTGAGCTTCGAAAGGAGGAGTGCCAAACAGGAACTCGTAGCAGAGAACACCCAAGCTCCACACATCTACGCTTGCATCGTGCTCCTTATTTTCCACTGTAAGAACTCCCAGTTAGCAACGACCAGAGCGAAAACGAAGTGCAGTAGAGTACACACCCATTTCTGGAGGGAGATAGTCGAGAGTTCCACACATCGTCCGCCTCCGGTTAAATGTATGGACTGACCACCCAAAGTCAGCTATTTTCAGTTCACCCTGCCGATACAAAACTAGTAACCGCTTCTCGTTTTACGAATTAGAAAGGCTTACCTTCATCCCAATAAGGAGATTTTCTGGCTTGATGTCTCTGTGGATGACATGTTTCTCGTGGCAGTACATTAATGCCCTTGCCAAAGAAGCGATGTACTGCAGAAAGAAACAATAAATCAGGGCAACATATGGACGTTATCTTACAGTCGCCGCTCTCTTCTCGGAGAAAACTTTGCACCGTTGGAGTTCCTTGTACAGCTCGCCTTTGGCAGCATACTCGAGTATAAGATACACTCTATTCTGTGTGATCAAAACAAGAGCATCAGGAACTACTGGAAGGAGAAGAGAAAAAATTCGAGAAATGCCCAACCTGATCATAGAAATATCCATAGAGACGGAGAATGTTGGGATGTCTCAAGTGACTTTGGATCTCAATCTCGCGACGCAGTTGATGCTCGACTTGCGACTGCTGGAGCTGGTTCTTGAACAGCACTTTGAGCGCCACAACGTATTTACTCTACACATCAAGGGAGTAAGAAACGTTAGCTACCATCAAGCAGCGCAAAATGTAATGCAAGAACACATACTCTCTTCTCTCTGGCGAGATACACGTTTCCAAACTTCCCGCGGCCCAGAGGCTTCCCAATGTCGAAATCCGCGAGCTTCCATCGCCGCTCCTCGGGGACAGCCTCTGGCGCCTCCACCATAGCTAGAAACCAAGCCGATTACCCCCGATCTCGCAGCGCCTCGACCAATGCGCAGTGAAACCCTAGGTGCCGCTGCGCCCTAGCTCAAGAAACACAGCCCCTCCTCTCACAATCCCTTCCTTCACATTAGGTGTTGTTACTTTGAAAGAGGACAATTTTGACACACAACGGTCACAAAATGACCTCTATGGATTCCGTACACACCACGGCCCATCGTACGGTAGACCCATAGCAATACTTTTTCTTTGTTGTTTCTCCATTAAAAAGAATTTACATCCCTTCGCCTTCTTCCCCACGAATGAATCACACAGCAGCTCCAAATCTTTCGCGCTTTATCATTCTTCTTTTCTTTCGTTTCTGATTCTTTCTTTTCTTCGCTAGAACTTTCGTCATGACTGCTGCTGCTCCGACGAAGATTGAGCGAATGGAACTCTGATGAACAGCTGCCCGTGGAGCGTAACAACGGCCGATGTTTGATGAGCATCGATCTTTAGCGGCAGATTAATCACCTGCACAAATCGATGTGAAAAAACTTCCCGGAGAGAACGGTAGCTGAAAGAAGAAAACCCAAACCTTTCTAAAGGCAGTAACTCCCCAAGGATTGTCAGGTTGTTCGGGTTCTCCAGCAATGACAAGCCTTCCCCCGGCCTCGCATTGTATCCTTACCTGACAAAGCAAACGAAACGATCATCAAGAACAAGATCAAACCCAAGGAAAAGAAGAACACACCTCCTCTCGCAATAGTCCTGGAACAAGAGCATACACCTCAAAGCATTCGCGCTGCTCACAAGCCCAACCAGAAGTTCCGATCAGTGGGTCACTTGCGCCAACTTCAATTTACCATCTGCCACACGAGCAGTGCTCCTGCCTGAGCATGTCGTCACTAATCCTACCACTCTAAATGCAGTTCTACAACTCAAAACCCCGAAGGGTTTTCGACGGACTGTATGCCATATCGACCAGGAAGAACAGCTACGAAGGAAGGAAGAACTCACCGTTTGATGGACATTGATCTTCACCCAGTCGGCTTGTGGACCTTCGTCAATCACGTCCAGATCGAGGCCGCTGTGTACTGCCTTGCCTTTCAAGGGCTCGTGCTTTGCGAGCTTCTTCTTTGCGGAAAGATGAGAGTCGTCATAGCTGTTCTCCTTCTTCCCTTTGCCAGAACCATCTTTCCGTTTCAAGAAGCCTATTATCGAGACAAAAACAAAACCAGGCTGTTAGTCAAAGGAAAAAAACAGGGAAGTATGTTGGCTGACCTCGTTTATCACGTCTAGCCGAGCTCTTGTCCTGAAGTAAAAGCTCTGAGACAAATGCTAGCTTAGCGAAAGCTTACGTGAACATACCTTCGAGGGCAGTTCTACCAAGTCTCCATTCCCACGTTGAGAATGCCATCCCTGCATAGCTCTTGCCGCTGCATCTCGCCTCGCCCTTCCAGGAGGCTACATAAGAAAACAAACGAGAACAAACGAGGACCTTCGTCAGGATCGATAACTCCAACCGATAAGTTAAGTCTCACCTGTATAGGGGCCGAAGACAAACCGTCCTCGGACCTCGAAGGATCGCCCGGTTGATCATGGTAGACCGAAACTCCCGTCGTGAACTTCTCATACTCGAGAAGTGCCTGAAAAAGCAAGGAAGAAAAGAAAAAGCATCGCCTTTTAGAAATGCACGAGACATAAGAATACGTGAACCTTTTCATAGAAGCCACGGAAGGACCACGAAATGGTTGTGCACGTTCTAAAGGAGCAAGAAGACACACGAATCAATGCTAAAGGCATGAGCTCTTAAAGCAAAGCAACTTACTTGGGGGGTTTGAAGGAATCGCCGACTTGACGCCAAAGCTTTCCAGAGGTCACCTGGTAAACACAAAGACGATCAAAACATCTATCGGCTTTCCATTGTCCAAAACATATATAATCGGGATATAGAGACTAACCTGTTCGTATCCTCCCAGTTTCATCACAGCCTTCCACAACCTGGCAGCAAAGAGAAAAACATCCAGAGAAAAAAAAAAAAAGTTTTAGAACAAGCTATGGAACTAAAAGCTTACTTGAGGCAATTGAGCTCCTCTCCATAGAACTTGGGAGCTTTAAACTCCATGCTCCTCTCCCGGAAGAACTTCTCCAGCTCCTTGACGAATGCCAATTGCTCCTCCACAGTGCCATCGCCATCGTCCTCGGAGGTCTCCGCAAACCCATCCTCCAGGTTCCCATCCTTGTCCAGCGCTGACGACTCCGTGTACTGCGTCGCCGCGAGCTCGTTCCCAGCGCCATCGCCGCCGCTATACTCATTCTCCACGCCATTCGCTTCCTGGCTTACGCCGGGCTCTTGCTCTTGCTCTTGCTCCTTGCCTTCGTAGCTCACCTCCTCAGCCTGGAATCCGCTGTGCGTCGGCGACGCCGCCGCCGCCTCCTCCCCGGGCTCCTCCCCCCACGGCGCCATGTACTGCTGCTCCTCCTCGGGACCATTGCCGGCGTCGTCGTTCTCGTCGAAGCTCCCCGGATTCATGCCCTCGGAATCCATCCCTGCCGAAATTTCGCACCGCAAGAGCTCGTCGCGCTGGTCGCGCTCCCCGCGCTAGGCGCTGCGCGAAAACCCCATATCCTCCATAGCTCAGCCCTTCGTCCCCAGCAGACCGCCGTTGGATGTGAACGGGATCCAACGGCCACGCGTGCGCCTAAGACCTAAACATGCTTTAAACAAAATCCCCTCTTCAATCCCCATACTTATTTAGCAGTCGCTGGCAAAAACGACCAAGCACGTCGAGATTTCCAATTCGTGGCAGCGTGAAATCTACCTCGGGGTAAAAAGACAAGAAAAAGCACCGCGTACTTTTTACTAGAAGGATTTGTCCATAAGCTGTATAGGCCCCAGGATATTGCTCTTGTTGGTCTCTACAATGCAGCCATTCATCACCATTTCTTCGAGGATGAAGTGGGCTTTCTCCAAGTGGTACATGATATCGAGCTCGCACTGCCAAGAGTCGATCGAATTCCATCGATCAATCCATCAGTACGACTGTCCAAAAGTGAGTAGAATGGAATTCGTGCTTACCACATTGCCGAAGTAGCGATCCATCGTCTCCACCACGCAATGGATGAACTCCAGAATCGCTAGCTCGTTCTACAAAGAAAAACAAGAAATGGGGGTGAGATCGAGCTAGACAAGAAGAAAATCGAGCTACACAAGACGAAAATCGAGCTAGGCAAGAAGAAAATCGAGCCAGACAAGAAGAAAATATCACAAACAAGAGAGACTTTCTTTTTACCTCTTCGCTGTCCACTCCAATGAGGAAGAAGAGGGAGGCGTAGCGCCGATACACGACCTTGTAATTCCGATGCTCTACAAACGAACACTGCGCTGGAGGAAATCACAAGCGCTGTGTGCAAGATCTCATACCTGATTCTCCGTGCGCGCCAAGCATTTGCGGACGATCTCGCCTTCCAGCGCCCGGCGCTCGTCGATCGTGAGCTGCTCGTAGTACTGCGCCAATCGCGTCTGGCCCTGCTTGTTCACCAGAAGGACGAATCGGATCGCCATTTTGGAGGTCTTGCAAGAACCCTATAGGCCATTTATTACCCGGGGGAAAAGGTTATTCTATGCGGTAAAGCATCAGAATGAGAAGGGGGAGCAAACCCTAAGAAGGCTCTGGGATCGATGCATCGTTGTGCGAGGCGCAGGAGATGCTGGCGCCAGGATTGCGCTCCCTAGGCGGTGGCGCATCGGGATCTTCCAGCGAGCGCTCCAGCGATCCATCCCTCGGTCGGTGGATCGATCGATAGCGAGCACCGGGTCGGCGTCGCGGCAAGATTTAGGCGCTCATCCTCCCGAGATTTGGAAATGTCGCCTCGGAATTTCTGGTGAGCTATAATATTTTGGTTCTTGGCCGGTTGTGGAAGCTCAAGTGATGGATCAGAGAGTCATGGCGGCCTGGCCCTTCGCGAATCAAGGGGTCGAGGGTTACGCGCCGCCAGTTCCTGTGGAGGTTTCAGGAGCTCTCCATCAAGCCTCTTTCGTGTCGGTGGCCGACCCGATGAGTTTCTACATCCAATCGACTGGGGCTAACCCCACGGAAGCTATGAGCCATTTCATGTCGCCGCTGGATCCAGGAGCTCCGTCGGTGAGGCCCTACTTGCAAGCAACCGCGAACGTTCCCCAAGAAGGATTTGTTTTCATGAGAGCTTCCAAGCCGCAGGAAGGCGTGACGATATCATCAGCCCACACCAGCCGAGACGATGGTACGTTTTGTTGTTTTGGTCAATTGCTCTTCCTTCCATGATTTTTCATTTTTTAAAATTCTTTGTTGTTTTGTTCTTGGCAGACCATGTGTCAAACTTATCGGAAGAGATGCCAACGAGAGTGAAGCTCCTGTGCAGTTATGGCGGTAAAATTCTTCCCAGGCCCAGCGATGGGAGATTGAGATATGCCGGTGGAGATACGAGAATGATCGCAGTGACCCGCGACACGAGCTATCTGAATTTGATGCTCAAGATGGTCGAGATTCAGCCACAGACTGTTGCTATCAAGTACCAGCTTCCCGACGAGGATCTGGACGCTCTGGTCTCTGTTTCCTCGGAGGAGGACCTCGAGAATATGATGGAGGAGTTTGACAAGCTAGAAGCTGGGGACGGGCATGCAAGGCTGAGGGTGTTTCTTTTCACGTCACTGGATTACGATGTGATCGGGGACAGTTCTGGTGATTTGAAGAACACGGAGCAGCAGTATCTGGACGCTGTTAATGGTCTTATGGAAGGGGCTTCGAGAAAGAGTTCAGACGCTTCAGCACAAAGCACGAGCCCGCAAGGCATTCAGGAGGTTTCTCCAGCTGCGGTACGAGTACCTCAGGTTTCTCAGGGCGTCCCCGTCATGGCTCAGTATACGTCGGTTCCAGCTTTAGCCAATGGCACCATTCTTCCTTCGATGATGCCGGCTTCTGGATTTCACTATGGATATGTCAACGGGCATTCGGAGCCGGTAGACAGGAATCTGTTGGGACATGGTCAGTACATTATAACCGAGCCGAGTGTTTCAAGCGATTCCGAGAGTGCCGCACGTCACCATCTAGTCATGCAACACGTTCAAGTATCTCAGGCGACTCCGCAAGTTCAGCAGTCCGTGATACAACCGCTTCAGGTTTCGCAGGCGGCGCTACAAGACGTGCAGAGAAAAACAGTATTGATTCCTCAGTTTCAGGGATACGTGGAGCCGCAACCTCAGAAGGCTGCTTTTTCTGAGCACAATTATACTTATGCAGGTGACAGCCTCTTTCAGCAAAAGCAGCAAGTATGGTCGACAGCGGTAGGATCTGATGCACTGGGAATTTCCCCTGTGCTTCCTCAGGTTACGGCTTACAGTGAGCTATATTCAAACCCTCCGCAACTGCCTGAGCAAGTATCTACGGAGCCATCCTATGACTATCAGGAGAGGTCAAGTCCAAAAGACTTACAAGAGACGCCTCCTGCTTCTAAGGTGAACATGAAGGAGAGTATGCTGCATCAGGGGGGGGTTAGCTGGCAACTAGCCGATCATATGGTTCAAGCGTCAAGTTCCGAGTGGAAGGACAGGGATACTCAGGGAGTTAGCACTGGAGCTGGAACATCTACTCTGCCAGGGTGGTCCACACCTCTTCCGTCTTTGACGACGTTGATAGCTCCAAGATCTGAGCCCGAACTTACGGGTAAGGCGCTGGAGCCTCAGCTGCCGGATGCACTAGTAAACTTTCTCGAGGACAGCCTCCATGCCGTAAGGACCGAGCGACCTCTTGTGGTTGAGAGCGGTCGTGGTAGTGGCAGTGACAGCAGCACTACCACGCAGATGGTGCATTCCGGGAACTCCTCCAACAACATGTTTATGGACTTGCTCACGAGCGACGAAGTATTCTGCAAGACTTCTTGCACCTCAACAATGTCTGGAGGGTCCATCGCTGCTAGCTCGGCCTCGACGTCGTTGTCACACGCTTTAGAGGCTTGTGCACAAGTTTACTCTGATACTTCACCCGTCTCCAGGCCATTGCACGGCAACTCCAATGAAGGCCCTCTGATATGTCTCACCGATGGGGATACGGGCCACACGCCCTTTCAGCCTTCTGCCGCTGAAGTGCACATTATGAAAGAAATGGCCGATCTTTCGGTGTCAGAGACAAGCAGTAACAGGAAAGCGGTAGCTGAAACCGAGGGTAACAGGTGCGACAGATCACTTGACACCAGTGACCTTCAAATCACAGTCACGGAGGTTACGGATGTTACTACCTCCAGGATAGAAGCGGCACTGATCGATTTGGCGGACCCGGAACTTGAAGAGCGTCCCATTTCTGCCGTAGAGTCGGAAGCTACCGCCCGTGCTCGTGGTTTACAGGTTAGTAGTTGTCTTGTACAATCCTCGTGCGTTTTTCCAACACGTTTGCAGGTAATTAAGCATTCAGATCTGGAAGAAATACGAGAATTGGGATCGGGTACATTCGGTACCGTCTACCATGGCAAATGGCGCGGAACAGATGTTGCCATCAAGAGAATCAAAGCTAGTTGTTTCTTTGGACCTCCATCGGAACAGGATCGGCTGGTACTTATTCCAATCATTTCGGTTATATTGCCACGTTTTTAATTTGTTTTCCAGAAGGACGATTTCTGGAGTGAAGCGTGTATATTAGCTCACCTGCACCATCCAAATGTTGTTGCCTTTTATGGAGTCGTACCAGACAGTCCAGGTGGTACACTGGCTACTGTCACGGAATTCATGGTTAATGGATCGCTGAAGCAGGTCTTGCACAAAAAAGAGCGGTGAGCGATCTTTTCTTGCGCTTTTGCTGGTTTGTGAGCTGACGGGGGTGGATGTACTATAGAATCTTGGATCGGCGTCGAAGACTCTTGGTAGCCATGGATGCCGCGTTTGGTATGGAGTATCTCCACGACAAGAAGATTATACATTTCGACCTCAAAGGAGAGAATCTGCTTGTTAACATGCGGGATTCACAGAAGCCTGTTTGTAAGGTATCGTGGTTACAGTCACGACTCAAATAGTGTTTTATGCTTCGTAAATGTGTTGCGCAGGTGGGAGATTTGGGATTGTCCAAGATAAAACACAAGACGATGGTTACCGGCGGAGTGAGAGGGACACTGCCATGGATGGCCCCGGAGTTACTTAATGGAAGAAGCATCTCGGTGTCGGAAAAGGTTGTAAACGTTTGTCCAACTTCAGCTTGGCCTGATGCAAAATGCTCTCTGCCGCATGTAGGTGGACGTTTTCTCGTTTGGCATTGTAATGTGGGAGCTCCTGACTGGCGAGGAGCCATACGCGGACCTTCACTACGGTGCAATCATCGGTAAACTACTCTAGATTCTTCTTTCCAAGTGTAGCTCGCCAACAACGAACGTTTTCGTCGCTTTTCTTTCTCCAGGCGGTATCGTGAGCAATCAGCTGCGCCCCCAGGTTCCCAGCAGCTGCGACCCGGAGTGGCAGTCCCTGATGGAGCGCTGCTGGGCAGACGATCCAGCAGTGAGGCCAACGTTTCCAGCCATCGTCGGAGAGCTGCGGTCGATGATGATGTCGCTGGCAAGGCCGACTGCTGGACAGATAAGTCCGACCCAACAACAGCAGGAGCAGCAGCAGCAGCAGCAGCATCAGGGACAGGGACAGGGGCAGCAGAAGCAGCAAAGTTCCTAGCGACGATCATCCATCGCAGCATCATCGTCATCGTTCATGGTCGAGGCAAGCAGTGGAATTTTCGTGCTTTTTCTACTTACGTGGGGTTTGGCGTTCTCGGGGTGATGGAAGTATAGAGATTTTGGAGCCACTGATAGCCAGCCATATGGTGTAAAGTCGCTGGGGGCAAGAGGCAAGCAAGCAGTGTATATAATGAATCCATCCATCCATCCATTCAGGTGCAAGAAAAAAGGAAGAAGAAGAAGAAGAAGGAGAGCGTGAGTTTGTTTTGTTGGTCGTTCGTTCGAGTAAGATTTTGTAGCCGAGAAATAAAACCATGTAAAGAGCAGAAGATGATAATTTGGACGTGGTCATTTCTTTCTAACACCCTCTTTCGTCGCGTTCTTGGCCAGCTCTGAGCACATATACGTGGGGCTTGCGTAAGAGGGAAGCGATAGCACTCGTGAAGGCCCACTCGTAAGAGGAATCACAAGGCCCACGCTCGTGAAGATGAGAATGAGAATGTGAGAGAGAGAGAGAGAGAGAGACAGAGAGAGAGAGAGAGATTTGGAACAAGTCGGAAAGAGAGAGAGAGAAAGGGACTTGTGGAGAGAGACTTGGAACCATTTGGAAACAGAGAAGATAGAGACTAAGCTCTAAGAGCTTTGACAGAGTCCTATTCTTTTTTTGATCAATCGGGATGGGTGTGGGAGCTTTGATTCTACTTGGTTTGCTCGCGTTTGCGTCGTGGTGCGCTATCCACCGGATCCGGCAGATTGGAACTCCCGGGTTTAAGACTTGGCCCCTGATTGGTGTCACTCTGGAGGTGGCCGCGAACTATCACCGGATTTACGACTGGCTCTCGTGGAATTTCCGGGTCAAGGAGACGATGACAATGTCCGCCACCATGCCCGGACGAAGCTACGTGTTCACGGTGGATCCGGCAAACGTGGAGCACATCCTCAAGACCAACTTCGCCAATTATCCAAAGGTAAGATCTTCTCGTCCGAGAAAAGAGGAGAGCTGGTTCCTTGTGAATCACAGGGGGAGGAGTTTCATGAGATTTTCGAGCCCCTGCTTGGGAATGGGATCTTCAACTCGGATGGAGAGCCATGGAGGATCCAACGCAAGACTGCCAGCTTCGAGTTTTCATCGCGGGTGCTGAGGGACGTGAGCTGCAGGGTTTTCAAAGATCACGCGCTCAAGCTCGCCAGGATTGTCCATGGCAGTCAAGAACCTTTGGAAATGCAGGCAAGGATCTTATCGTTTTTTCAATGAGAACTTCTCGATCATAGAAAATTTACCTCCAGGATTTGTTCATGAGGATGACTCTCGACACAATTTGCTTCCTCGGTTTCGGCCTCCATCTCGGCGTCCTCGCTCCAAATCTCCCCCGGAACGACTTTGCCACGGCCTTCGATGCCTGCAACGCCATCATCTCCTACCGCTTTGCGGACCCGTTCTGGAAATTCAAGAGGTTCCTCCGGATTGGACAGGAGCGCAGCCTCCAGCGCCATCTCCAAGTCGTGGATGATTTCACGCACAGCATCATATGCCAGAGGAGGCTCCAGCTCCAAGATCAGCCCAAAGACCACCAACAAGTAAAAAGAAACTCCATTTCACTTGATCGCATTCATTCGATTGATGGGGTTCTTTGCTTCTTCCTTTGCAGAGCAGACAAGATTTACTGTCGAGATTCATGCTGCTAGACGAGAGCTTCTCCGATGATCATCTCCGCGACGTGATCCTCAACTTCGTCATCGCCGGGAGGGACACCACCGCCAGCACTCTCTCGTATTTCACCTACATGATAGCCTCCCATCCGGATTGCGCCACCAAAATCTACCAGGAGCTCCACGAGTTTGAAGAACTCCAGCTCGCTGACAATTCCCATCGCCCAAGCAGTTTCGAGGACAAGATCCACGGATTTACCCAGCTGCTAACATACGAATCGCTGGCCAAGCTCGTCTATCTCCACGCCGCGCTCATGGAAACTCTCAGGCTCTTCCCTGCCGTGCCTCTGGTGATGAAAGAAAGAATCCAAGCTTCTTGGGCTAATCTCTTGGAGCCTTTTTCTATTTCCAGAATTTCAAAGGAGTCGTCGCGGATGATGTTCTTCCATCTGGTGCTATGGTGAAAAGAGGATCCACACTTTCATACGCGCCGTATTGCATGGCCCGTATTAAATCAATCTGGGGTTCGGATGCATCACAGTTTCGTCCCGAGAGATGGCGCAGAGATGGAGCCTGGGATTTCAGCATCTCTTCATTCAAGTTCACGGCATTCCAGGTAATAGATTTCGTCAAACAGATTGAGGAGCAAGTGAGCACTATTTTCTTTTGCAGGCAGGGCCCCGCATTTGTCTGGGCAAGGATAGTGCCTTCTTGCAGATGAAGATCACTGCAGCCCTCTTGTGCAGATTTTTTGAGTTTCAACTTGTTCCCAGGCAGATTCTTACGTACCGAGTCATGGCTACTATCTCCTTCGCCAATGGTGTCAAAGTCACCACCTCGAATCGCACTTAAAATTAGAAGAATAAAGTCATCTGTGAATTGTTAAGCTCTAGGTAATTATTTTTAATAAACAAGGTGATTCAGATTATAAAGATTTTTTTCTCATATAATATATGTTAATTTAAATAAGCATCCTCTCCTTCATCAGTTATGGGTGGCAGTTTTATGGGGAGGTACACTTCCCAAGAAGGGAAGTGTTCTTGGGAAGTGTACCTAGAGTGGGCAACTCTTTTTTTCAAATCATAAGCATGTATATCATATATAAATTCTTCAATCGCCAGCTCATGCAAAATCCATGTCAGTGCCACAATCCATATCAGCTTAATTTACATAAACAGGGTTTAATCTTTTATTTAACAACATTTTTACACACCAAGTTGAATTAACAACACTTTTTACACATGTTTGAGAGGTTTTTTGGAAAGAATGGATAAAAAACTCGCTCAACATCATTGCCATATAAAGATTAACAGACTTTGGAGGAGATGGATCACATTGCATACCTTGAGAGAATGCTACCTTCATGTTTTGCCAGGTCTTCTTGAGTAACAAGATGAAGAAGTTAGCATTGAGCTGAACATTGGCCTTCAACTTACTCTCCAAACTCTCTTGGTGCAACACAAGAGTGGGGAACTTGCTGCCTTGTTCAGGCAAGGGATTCACTTGATCATTGCCTCCTAAACTAAGAAAGCATGGTACTTCTTTACCAGCTTCTTCATAAGCTTGGTAGTGTCTCAATACTCTCAATGTTTGTGTCACCATTTCTACATCTGGGTTATATACTGGCATCTAAACGCCCCCGCACGTCCGCCCGCACCTAGCGTGCGCCCTAATTACTTCCACGTGGCCACAGCACCAACACTTAGCCAAATTTCAATCACCACTCGTGTGGATGCCTTTCTACTTGCTTTATGTGGCCAATGAGTGTCATGGATGACCATTAATAGTGGTTATCGTATGAAATTTTCTCACTAATTTAAATATATGCAATGTAAGTATATAAAGAGTTTGTTTTTTTATTTATTCTTTGTTAAAATTGAGTTTTTCATTTAAAGAGCTTTTCTTTCTTGTCTTCCTCCGCCTAGTAAAAGGAATTAATTTTGGATCAATGCACTATTGAAATTCTATTATAGGATGAATAAGATCATCTGGCTTAGCTTTAAAAGTTGCAACCTTTTGTTATATCATTTCTAAATTGTTGTCAACCATAAATAAAAAAGCTTCTTCATTAAGAAGATTTTATAAGATATCCATCATCTTTTGCTATAATGTTGCTTTTAACTTATGATGGAGTGATATCTTCCTCCTCAAAGTTCATATCAATATTTAAAATTTGTTTAGTGTAAATTACCTTTATAGTAATCCTTAGCTGAATTTTTTATTGATGCTGTATATTTTGATAGATATCTTCTTGCTCAATATTCATATATATTAGTATATAAAATATGCTAGTTTACCTCTAATGTAGTCTCCAACTGAATTGTTTGCTTATGATAAACATTTTAATGGATATTTTCCTGCTTAAATTTGTAGAAGTATTTCAAAATTTTTGTCTATCATAACTTCCAAGTCAAGTGTTTCAAAATTTTGATGACGATAAAACAAGCCATCTAACCCAGGTTTTAAAATTGCATATGATTGTGATGGTTGAACCTCATAACTAGTTATAATCTAGTCAATTTTCTTTTTTTATTTTAACATAATAACTTTTGCTTGATGCTTGCAAAAGTTTCATTTGTTACCCATAGACAATTACACCAAGTCAAAAAAGCCTAATCACTGTGTCCTTCACCTCTGACAACAAGATACCATATAGTTAGATCTGAAGAGGATTATACATAAGATTTGCGAGTATTGTCCTTATCGAATTTTATTTGAGAGTTGTTAATATTTCTTTCTTTAACAATCGCACCATCAATTAGTTTTTCGTATGCATAGTTTCGAATAAAACTATAACCTTTGCAATAACTAGTAAACCAGTACCTCACATGAACCTTAGTAGTAAATTGATGAATTGCCCAATCCATCATTCGATTGCGAACATGTTTTTTTTTGGGACAATAGTATAATTTTCATATTTGCATGGAATGCCTCAATTAAACTATTTGTCTCCTTGTTAGCATAAAGTAAATTTTGAGCAGCAACAACCCATATATCTATCAAATATAAATTAAAATAAATTATAAAAATCAATTGATTCACATACTAACTTTATCCTTCCATTCGTTTTGAAAATACTTAATAAAGGCTATTTCATTTTGAAAATTCACCTTAAAATGTTCAATAAGTTGTTTAATTTTAGAGCGGGAGTGTGATGGACGGGAGAGGGAGTGCACTGGAGAAAAGACAAAAATAAAGCCTAATGCCACATCACTACGAGGTAAGTGGAGAGAGAGTGAATCAAGATGGTGTTTAACAAGAGGTAAGCTTTTGTGGATTGCTCAAGATATACTAATGAGTCATGCTAATCATGAGTGTTTAAGTGAGGCTCTTGGTTTTTTGCAAGACATTGCTTTTATTGTCATTGTTCTCCAAATTGTACACCTTCCAAATATAAAGGTGAGTGCTTGTCCCATATATACACTTTATCTAAAAGCTATGTGGAATCCTTAGATGTTGGCAGTCTTTTGGGGATGTGACATATTTTCGGTTTTTATCTCCTTATTCATTTTCAAACAAAGTGTTATGATAGTGGTATGTATGTGATGCAAAATCTTCATGGATTATTAACCACATAACAATGGTCCTTAAGTACCTTTGATTTACAACCTGTAGGGAGGATATAGTATAATGATATTTGCTGCCAACATTTTTAATCTTTCACTCTAAGGTATGAAGAATACAAGAGCTCAGTTTTTTGAATACACATCCTTGCAAGTTTGACATAGTGACCAGAAAAAAGCTTGTGAAAATATTAGTTTCTATGGCCTAGGTGAGCATCTTGCTTTTGTGAACACATCATGTGAAACTTGCATAGATTTATTTCTTATAGGTGTTTTGGAACATGATGTATGGGCACCTTGCACTCTGGGTATGGATTACAAATTCTACATTCTCTAACCCAAGATGAAAGTGTAAATGAACACTTGTTCTTGCTCATCTTCTTCAGCCCCTCCAGATCCATATAATTTAAAGTGATCTTCTCAGCCTCCCAAAAGAGAAACCATATTTCTGATTGAGCAGCTAAAACACTTGTCCTTCTGTGGTATCTTTATTTTGAGGAAATTGCACTTCTTCTGTGAAGATTAGGAATTGGCCTCTAAAAGAGAATTGGCCTGTGGGTTGAATTTATATATGACATGTCCCATGAAAATATTATAATCATGTTTTAATTACCATTATAGCAATCAAAATGTGATTATGTACATTATAATTTTGTGTACAATTGAAAACAAATTAATATATCTGCAGATGTGTAAATAAAAAATCCACTCATGTGCAATCACATATTCACAAATAGCAAAAGTAGTAGACTTCTACTTGACTTGAAACCACCTGACCAATGCATTCTTGCTAGACTTTGAGTTACCCTTCTAGCCGTTCTGGAAAAGAACTAACAACAAACAAAGTACTAACTTTCAATTGATCTTATGAGCTCAAAAGTGGTACAGAGAAGATGGACAGTTTTTTTGCTTATTCTATATAAGGACCCAAAAATTATTCTGAAGTGCAGTTGGAGGTGGTGACTTTGACACCATTCACAAGGGAGATGGTGGCCATGACTCGGTACGTCAGAATCTGCCCAGGGACAAGTTGAAACTCGAAAAATCGGCACAGGAGTGCTGCTGTGATCTTCATCTGCAAAAAGGCACTGTCTTTGCCCAAACAAATGCGGGGCCCTGCCTGCAATAAGAAAATGTGGCTCGCTCGCTCCTCAATCTCGCGATCGATAGATTACCTGGAATGCCGTGAACTTGAATGGAGAGACGCTGAAATCCCAGGCTCCATCTCTGCGCCATCTCTCGGGACGAAACTGCGATGCATCGGAGCCCCAGATTGATTCAACACGGGCCATGCAATAAGGCACATATGAAACCGTGGATCCTCTTTTCACCACAGCACCCGATGGAAGAACATCATCCGTGACAGCTAGTTTGAAGTTCTGGAAAGAAAAATCATTAGTTCAAGAAGCTTCGAATGAGAATCCAAAGGGATTCTCTCTCTCATTCACCAGAGGTACGGCAGGGAAGAGCCTGAGAGTTTCCATGAGCGCGGCGTGGAGATAGACGAGCTTGGCCAGCGATTCGTATGTTAGCAGCTGGGTAAATCCGTGGATCTTGTCCTCGAAACTGCTTGGGCGATGGGAATTGTCGCTGAGCTGGAATTCTTCAAACTCGTGGAGCTCCTGGTAGATTTTGGTGGCGCAATCCGGATGGGAGGCTATCATGTAGGTGAAATACGACAGAGTGCTGGCGGTGGTGTCCCTCCCGGCGATGACGAAGTTGAGGATCACGTCGCGGAGATGATCATCGGAGAAGCTCTCGTCTAGCAGCATGAATCTCGACAGTAAATCTTGTTTGCTCTGTAAAGAAAGACGAAGGAATCGAATAAATATACGAGCGTGACTGGCGATCCTTGGAAGTGGAATGGAGTATCTCTTACATGTTGGTGGTGTTTGTACTGATCTTGGAGCTGGAGCCTCCTCTGCTGTATGATGCTGTGAGTGAAATCATCCACGACTTGGAGATGGCGCCGGAGGTTACGCTCCAGTCCAATCCGGAGGAACCTCTTGAGTTTCCAGAAAGGGTCTGCACAGCGGTAGGAGATGATGGCGTTGCAGGCATCGAAGGCCGTGGCAAAGTCGTTCCGGGGGAGATTTGGAGCGAGGACGCCGAGATGGAGGCCGAAACCGAGGTAGCAAATTGTGTCGAGAGTCATCCTCATGAACAAATCCTGGATAAATTTTCGAGAAGATCTCAATAAAAAAGAAGAGCTTTTGATCCTTGCCTGCATTTCCAAAGATCCTTCCGATTCCTGACTACCATGGACAATCCTGGCGAGTTTGAGCGCGTGATCTTTGAAAACCCTGCAGCTGACATCCCTCAACACCCGTGACGCAAACTCGAAGCTGGCAGTCTTGCGTTGGAATCTCCACGCCTCTCCATTTGAGTTGAAGATCCCATTCCCGAGCAAGGGCTGGAAAATCTCTTGAAAATCCTCCCCCTGTGAAGAACAAAGAAAAGAAGATCAAGAGAATTCTCCTCATTTCTGAGTTTTCTCGGAAGAGAGCGACCTCGAACGAGATCTTCTATACCTTTGGATAATTGGCAAAGTTGGTCTTGAGGATGTGCTCCACGTTTGCTGGATCCACCGTGAAGAGGAAGCTTCGTCCGGGCATGGTGGCGGACATTGTCATCGTCTCCTTGACCTGGAAATTCCACGAGAGCCAGTCGTAAAGCCGGTGATAGTTCGCGGCCACCTCCAGAGTGACACCGATCAGGGGCCAAGTCTTAAACCCGGGAGTTCCAATCTGCCGGATGCACTGGATTCCGCACCACAACACAAACGCGAGCAAACCAAGTAGAATCAAAGCTCCCACACCCATCCCAATCTTTACGTTGACCAAAGGAATAGGATTTCTATCAAACCTCTTGAACTTCTCCTTCCCAGTTGGTCTCTATCTCCTTTCTTCCAAATGGCTGAAAATCTCTCCCCACACTGACTCCCCTTTGTTGTGTTGCGTGGACGTGGATATAGGAGTGACGATTTACTGTCCATCATGCAGATCTTTGCAATACATCTCAGTTCGTGATCTTGTCATTGTATCAGAGCAAGCTCAATGACACGATTGTGAGAAGATTGTAAGGCACTCTCACGAATCTTCCAAGAGCGGTCCAGCTTAGTAAGCAAAACAGCCCTATTGGCCGCTTTGGACCACCACGTAAAGTGTTTGGTGGTGAATTACTTGACACGTCACAAGGGTAAACGAATATTTTAGGAGGTGTTTAGAAAAATTTATAAATTATAAACACAAGATTAATTGGATTCAAGTTCAATAAAAGTAAAAATTGTCCGTGTTGACCACATAAATTTTGAACTTCTTTAAATACAAGCTTGCAAATAAGTTATATAATGCATCAACTCATTATAAACCCATATCAACTCATATTCACTTGTCTATGCAAGCCTATGAAGGAGTTAGCATTATTTAGCATCTAACCTCAGGAGCACATTTAAAACAATATAAAAACTAATTATTATTATTACATCAGAGTGCTACTCATTAGTGCCCAGCTGGAGGCATGAGGTCTTAGCTTGAGTTTTAACTCCTGAAAATTCCTCCAAGCACCGGAGAGAACTAACACCACCAAGAAATTGAGAGAATTCAAACTTTCCTTAATAAAATCTTGATGAGAAAAATGCATGTATATTCATACCATATAAATTAAGAGCTAGTAAGTATGTCTCTTTATCTTTAGCTTGGTTCTAGATTACTCTAAAATATACCTTAATACAGCCAAGTGAAAAGATCCTTAAAAACCATCATTTTTAAATCATGTGTTTAGATACCCTTCAAAGACTCTTCTCTATTGAGTTTATGAGTTCAATCTTATACTTAATAAGATCTTAATAATTGTATAAAAGGCAATATGTTTGAGGATTTGAACAAAGACAATAATCCACTTTCCAGCACCAAGATTCTCTAGACTTGAGCTCTTGGTTGACTGTGAAGAGATCACTATGACCAAGTAACTACTGATGCCATAGACGATTCTATATGCTTCATCTGGCACTTGCAAGCAGGACCACAACTGCACGATGATAAATCCAACTGGCCCACCTGGATTTCCCCAGTTACCACCATATAGCAGTGCACAACTCTAGCCAGAGCATACAAGTTGCAAGTAGAAAATGGATGCCACACACCCCCTGGGAGAGGATGTCTTCCACATCCTCTATTAATGCCCGAGGTACAAGCCATTGCGGGATCAAACCACACTCCTATGCCAAGAGCAAGATCAAGCAGCCATGCTTAGGGAATAGCTCCTGCCTCCAACAGTTGGGATAGTACTCCCCAGGGACAGAGAGTTTGCGAGAAAATGAGTAAGACTGAAGGACCAAAGAGTGAATTATGCATTACATCCATGCAGATAGGGGCAAGTGGTGGACTATAAACAAATTATATTCTAGAGTCTTCTAGACAGCATTATTGTGGTCAATGCCTGTGTAAAATGATAATAAAAGAAAATGTAATAGTTAGCTAATAATAAACTTTAATCTTTTATTCATACAACTGATATATACAATTTTTCACTTATAGCCTCCTATTTCACTTATAGCCTTTATATAGGCATAAAGGCACCCTGTCCTGAAATATAAGTGGGATTTCGATAATTGAGTTTTACTTTTCCAAAAACGAAATTTGATCTGTTTAGAATTCCTCTCGGCCTCTTATGCTTTTAGAAACTCAAAGAGGTGCGTTTTCCTCTTTATATTTCCAATATACAACACAAGAAGGAATCCTTCCCTGCTCTATAAATCATATATAGACAAACTTCCTGCAAGTTTCGCTTGACACTCTCTCCTCCATCTCTCCCCAGGAAGTAACAAGAATAACCAGAAAAGAAAGAAAAGAAAAAGAAAAACCAAGAAAGAAAAAATGTCCGAGGAGAAAAGAGAGAGAGAGAGAGAAAAAAAAAGAAACAAAGAAAAACAGGATAAAAGAGAGAACCTGGAATGGGATGGATGGAGTAGTAGCGTCACGAGAAGGGGAGGCTCGATTGATCCATATGTCTCAAACGATCCACCACTTGCCGCATGGTTGGCCTGACCGTGAGCGAATCCACCGTGCACATCACCGCCAGCTTGAGCGTCTCCAGGAGGAACGCCTCGGGGCCCATCTCCCACAGCTCCACGATGAACACCTCGTGAGCTCGTCCCTGTCCGATGAGCAAGCACGCCCACCCGACGATTGTAAACCCGTGTCCATAGTCCGAGAAGGCCGGATCCAGCGCCTTCTTCCCCGATAGCAGCTCCAGCAGCACCACTCCATAGCTGTAAACGTCCGCCTTGTCCGACACCCGGCACGTCATGGCATACTCCGGCGCGACGTAGCCGAAGGTCCCAGCCACGTCCGTCGTGGCATGCGTCTCGGACGCACCGAGCAGCCGGGCCAGCCCAAAGTCGGCCAAAAACGCCGTCAAGTTGTTGTCCAGGAGGATGTTGCTCGGCTTGATGTCCCGGTGGAGCACCCTTGGCTGGCACTCGTCATGCAAGTAGGCCAGCGCTTCCGCGATGCCCAGCGCGATCCTGTGCACCACCGCCCAGCTCATCTCCCCCCGGCTCCGGTTGTGGATGAAGCTCTCCAGGTTGCCCCGCGGGAAGTAGTTGTAGATGAGGAACATCTCCCCCTCGCTCGCGTGGTAGCCGATGAGCTTCACCAGGTTCGAGTGCTGGATCCTCCCCAGCGTCCGGATCTCCGTGTCGAACTGCTGCACGCCTTGAAACCTCCCAATGGAGAGCCGCTTCACGGCCACCACCAAGCCGGGCATCATCTCCGCCTTGTAAGTTGCTCCAAAGCCACCGTTTCCTATCAGGTAGTCCACGCTAAAGTTCCCAGTCGCTCGGACAACGTTCTCGTACGTGAACCGGAAACCGATGTTGGTGAAAATGACCACCTCTTTCCTGCCACCCCGGTTTCTAGGTGGCCTGGGAACTCGCTGTTTCGTGCACTGGACCAGGAGTACGAGAACCAGGAGCACCACGGCAACAGCGCAGCCTGACGTGATCGCCACAATCACAACGACGCTCAGTCCGCCACCGGCCGGAGGGTCCTGTGGAGCCGCGACCGGATCAAGATTTTCCTCCATGTATCCGGGTCCGAAAGCAGCCAGCGACGTCGGGCACGGCTTGAGATATGGATTTCCCTGGAAGTGCTCCTTGTCGCACATCCCCACCCAGCTTCCCGAGCTTGGAACGGAGCCGGAGAAGTTGTTGAAGGCGAGGTTGACGGCCACCAAGGAAGTGATGTCGGAGAGCACCGGGGGTATTGTCCCGGAGAAGTCGTTGTTGTTCAGTAGCAAGTACTCGAGGTGACTGAGGTTGGCGAGGGAGGAAGGAATGGTCCCGTGCAAAGTGTTGCCGGAGAGGTCGAGCAGGCTCAGAGAGGACGCCTGGCCCAGGTTCTCCGGAATATCTCCCACGAGAGAATTATTCGCGAGGAAAAGGCTCGTCAGCATCTGGAGCTCGCCGAGTTCACCTGGAATGCTGCCGCTTAGCCGATTGCGCGAAAGATCCAAGAGGCTCAAGTTGCCTAGAGTCCCAAGCTCCTTGGGCAGAGCCTCCTCGATCAGATTGTTCGAAGCACTGAACTGTACCAGGGATTTGCATCCTCCTATATCCTGGCCGGACAGCTCGCCCGAAATCTGGTTGTCGCTCAAGTTTGCCATGAACGCCTTGAACCTTCCACAGAAGGCAAAAAAGGAGGACGAGATGTTGCCGGCCAGCCTATTCTCCGACATGAGGAGCTCGTATACCGGTTCTTGTTCCAGCAGCTCGTCGCCTATTAAAGGTGCTGGAACAGGACCCGAGAAATTGTTGCCGCTTAGATCATGCACAACGATTAACCCAGAGCTGAGACACGTCTCGCTTCTCCGTTTCCCGCAAAACGGTCTTCCCGAGCAAAACGAAGGGTAAACCACTGGCTCTTGCGTGTCATTGCACTCGATGCTCCTTCGGGGTGGAACACCTCCGGACAAGCTGTTCCTGCTTACGTTGAAGACGATCATACAAGAAGTTGGCAGCTGTGGTGGTAACTGAGCCTCTAGCCTGTTCAAGCTGAGATCTAAGTACGTGAGTGACGAGCACTTTCCGAGGCCCTGAGGAAAGTCACCCGTGAACGAGTTACCGGCAAGATTGAGGCTCCTCAGCCTCTCACAGGCCCCCCACCCGTCGGGAATACCTCCTGTTAACGCTGCATGAGGTGCCCAGAGAACTTGGAGCTTGGGCAACTTAGAGATGCTGCTCGGAAGCGGACCATCGAACTGATTAAACTCTGCCTTGTCAACACCCCGGACACCATCCCCAGTAGTACAGTTGAAGGGTGAAACACACGAGCTCGGATGTGTCAAAACCAGAAAGGACAGCTCCAAGCAGTCACCTAAAGCTGCCGGAACCTGACCTGTTAGCCTGTTCATCGACACATCGAGCACCTGAAGCATTCCCAGACGGCCGAGCTCGGAAGGAATAAATCCTTGCAGATAGTTCGATTCGAGGACGAGAACCTGTAGCTTCGAGCAGTTTCCCAGCCAAGGTGGAATGCCGCGAATAAAAAAGTTACTTCCCAGGTCCAAGTACTCCAATGTTCCACAAAGACCCTGTAGCCCCGGAGGAATGACAGAGCTCAACTGGTTGGACGTCAAAGAAAGGTGACGCAAGCGTGACAGTCCTCCCAAACTCGCTGGAATCCCCCCGGAGAGCTTGTTTCTACCAAGGCTGATATGGACCAAGCTGCGGCAGCTTGCGATGGCTGGCGGGATTGGGCCGTCGAGCGAATTCCCTTCCAGATCCAACACCTCTAAGCTGGAAAGAGCTCCAAGCTCTGCCGGTATCCCACCCGAAAAGGAATTCTCCTGGAGGCTGAGCACCTGGAGCTTGCGCAGCTTGGAAATCTCCCTGGGAATTCCACCCCTGAACCTGTTATACCCCAAGACGAGACTCCTCAACTCGGACAAGTTGCCAATCTCCGGTGCCAAAACTCCTTCCAGGATGCAAGACCCTCCTTGCAAACAAGCCAACGATCCCGGCTCCTGCGTTTGGACATTCTCCCAAGAGTCGCTGTGGCTGCTGCTACAAGTGCCCAAGAAGGCCCCTGTCAAGTTGAGAGACGTGACTCTACGATCCTGTGCGCAACTAACACCTGCCCACAAGCACGGATCAACGCTGCCCGCGTTCCACCCAGAGAGAGCGTCCGAGGGGTCAAGCGCCTTCTTCACTGCCAGGAGCGCAATGCCGTCGCCGGATAGCTGCGCGAGGGACGCACTGAGAGAGGCAGCCAGTAGCAGGAGCCACAGGAACCACGACATAGCCAGAATCTCGCCTCTACCCCTGCATTTTCCCCAAATCTCAGCTCCAGCTACCGATCCAGCCCTCCCTACGCCTGATTCCCTTGCGCTTCTTCCAGTAGAAATCCGAATGCCGCAGCCTGTGCCGGAATCGCCCCGCCTCCTCCGCCATCGCGACGCGGACCATTCCTGCAAGGAAATGCTTTCTTACGGCAGGGAATGTGCCCGAATCCGGGCGAGCCGCATCGCCACTGCTCCTCTCCTTCGCCAAGAACACTAGCACAGGACCCTAACCCTACCTGGGCCAAAAACAAAAAGGTGTACGGCATACATTTCAACGCCGGCCGTTGGATACCCGAGCCGAGAATCCGACGGCCAGGAAGAGACCAAAGACGACAATAGCTTTAACCACGAGGAAATTTTTTTTTGATAATTTAGAGCCTGCGAGTCTCCATTGTTCTAAGAGTCTTTCGAGCTCGATCTTTTCCTCCTCGGCATTTGGAGCAAAGTAGCGATCTCTCCAGCGAAAACCACTTCTCAACCTCGAGAATTCGATCTCGCTTCGACGTCGAGCAAATGTCGATCACTTCACGAGCAAATCTCTCCTCCGGACGAAGAACTTTTCACTGCTGGTGCTGCTGCCGCTGGTGATGGTGCTGCTGGTGCTGATGGTGGTGCCTGGTTCGTCGTCTCCGAGTTGTCAAAGGCCCAACAATCTCTCCTCCATTCTCACCAGCAGCAGCAGCAGCAGTGGAGTTCGAGCTAGCTCCACCACCGCTTCCAGACGAAGAACTAGTCACAGTCCCTGTTCTTCCCTCGTCACCGCCAACAACACGGTTCATTTGGATATCCTCCCCCCACAAAGCTTCCCTCGGGGCAGCCGACGACGCCGCGGCCGCCGCCACCACCCTGGACGAAAGTCCTCTAAGCCTGCTTGGGATGCTACTACCACCTGCAGTCGCTCCAGTCGCTGCTACAGGACCAAACACTTGAAAAAGCAAAAAGACTGTCCACCAATTACCATCGTCGCCAGGAAAATCATTGTCATCACCCTCATCTTCCTGGTCATCGTTGTCCTCGTCGATCACGTAGTCACCCAGGATCCGAGCTCCGGGCATGGCCGACTGGATGGTGCTCAACACGTCCCCTATGTCCCGCTCGCGTTCCAGGTGCCTCCAGTCCCTCTGCCGGGCCGGATCCACGTCCGAGGGCCGAGCAAACGGGTGCACACACCGAGCGTGCTTCCGCAGCTCGTCGTAGCTCCCGGTGAATCCACACGACTCCTGTGCGCAGTTCCTCGACTTGCAGTTTAGATGCCGCCGAGCCGGCTCCACCACCTTCCACCCCACAACTTTGCCTCTACACAGAGGACACATCAAGTCGAGTGACTCCCCCATTCCACTGCAGCTGCCCCTTACTTCCGGCTGCTCCTCGGACGCTTCCCTCGCCTCGGGCTGCTCCTGGAAGTCGGCCACCTCCGCCTCGGCCTCCTCCTCTACAACCCCTACACCCGGAACTCCTCTGAGAGCTCGCCCCGGAGTCCCAGACCCATCGCGACCACCGTTTCCACCACCACTGTTTCCACCACCTCGTCTAGAGCTGCTGCTACTGTTGCTGTCACCTATGAGCAAGAGCTCCCGGAGAGGTCTCATCCTCACGGCCGATCGCTCGCGAGTTCTAGCGCTGGACGGTCCTCCAGCAGCGGCCGACGAGAGTGGCTCGTGGATCACCTCCTCGCCTCGGCTGCTACACTGCCCGCCGCCTCTCCCCGAGAGCTTCTTGTACTGGTCCAGGCAATTCGAGTGGCGATAGCTCGTGTCACACATGTAAGGCCGGCATCCATTGTCGTGGGAGCTGCAAAGGAGTAGCACTGCGTTGTGTGGGATCTCCATGCAAATCGGGCATGTCGCGTCCTCCCATTCTTTCGAGACTAGAGCCTCGTCGCCACACTCTTTGGAGGAGCTCTGGTAAGGATGGTAGTGTGGCGCGCGAGATTTTCGTGACGATCGATTGCTGACATCCTTAGGCATCCTCTTTTTTCGCGTTGTTCTTCCTTCCCTCCTCAGTCGGCAAGAGGTTCGCTTCACCGACAAGGCAAGAATGAAAATGCCCTCGCTGGCCGCGCGGCGCCTAGAGCGCAAGCTCCTCTAGCTCGCTCGCTCGCTCGCATCTGCGCCAAGATCCACGAAGAGAAGGGGGATTATTTCCAACAATCTCTACCCTAATTGCAAGAACAAGCACCTGGAAATCCCGCGGCTCCAAGATCCCCGGCGCTGCTGCTCAGATCGATGCCCGCTCGTCGCAGATCCGGAGGATTGACCAGGCAGCGCGGCGGCGCCGCGGCGCCACTGATCGATCGCGCGAGGCCACCGGCGGTAGCCCGTAAACGTTGCGTCTCCTCCCTGGGAAACGTTCAAGTGCTTCTCACGGCGACGGGGATATTAAGCCCTACCGTACGCCCTCGCCCTCCAGAATGTTGGCCATAAGCGCGTACGGAGCCAGCGACCCGTGGCCCAGCACCAACGCGGATTCGAACGCGCGACCGCCCGCCCACGCCGCCCCGCCGTTATGACATGCGCCGCCGAGCACCGTCATCCACGCCACGTCGTCCGCCACGTAAGGCATGTCATAAGCCACGCGCAGCGCTTCTTCCAGCTTCCCGGCCCGGCTCAAGCAGTCGATCACGCAAATGTAGTGCTCGATCTTTGGGCGAATTCCATGGCTGGACAGCATCGATTCGAGCAGCTGCTTCGATCGATCCACTGCGCCGCTGTGGCTGCAAGCCGTGAGGAGGCACACGAAAGTGGCGCTGTTTGGTTCGATGGCTTCGTCTCGCATGGATCGAAAGAGCTCGAAGACTCGCTGGCTGTCGCCTTTGCGAGCGTATCCTGCGAGAAGCGAGGTCCAAGTTATGGAGTCACTAGAATGGAGTGAATCGAATACCTGGTGCGCGTCGAGCAAGCTGCCACATTTTCCATAGACGTCGACGAGCGAGTTTGCGAGAACTCCATCTTTCTCGGAAGAACCGCGTCTCGCCGCAAGGCCGTGGATCACTTTCGTCGAGGCGAGCGCTTGAGAGCTCCGGCAGGCCTTTAGAGCGGCTAGAAACGTCCGGGAGTTTGGGTCGCAGCCACCATTTTGGATCATCAGCTGGAGGAGCTCCAGAGATCTTTCGCGATCGTTGGTCTCTGCGTAGCCGAGGATCAAAGCGTTCCACGAGACGACGTCGCGAGAAGCCATCCGATCGAAAGCTCTCTGCGCATCCGCCATGCTCCCACACTTCACGTACATGTCCATCGCAGCGCTGGCCACGAACTTATCCCTGTCACTGCCAATCTTCGCTGCTCGCGAGTGCAAAGCCATTCCTTTCTCGATGGAGCTCACCTTGACGATCACTCCATCGAGTTCTATCCCAGCTTCCTTCTCTCCCAATCCGCTGCAAGCCTTGAGAGCCGCCACAAAGCTCCGGGAGTTTGCCTGGCATCCCTGGAGCTCCATAGCTCTCAAGACTTCCATCGCCAGCTCTTCTTCACCGTTCTCGGCATAGCCGAGCATCAATGCGTTCCACGAAACCACGTCTCGAAAGTCCATCCCCTCGAAAGCTCTCTCTGCGTCCTCCATGCTTCCGCATTTCGCGTAGAGATCCACCAAGCTGCTCGCCACAAAACTGTTCTTGATCAATCCCCTGGCTCGAGAGTGAATCGCGAAAGCTTTCTCCAGAGTAGCCAGCTTCACAGTCCTTCCACCAATCTCCCTGCCTTGTTCTTGCGAAACCAAGCTACCGCACGCCTTGAGAGCAGCCACTATCGTCTGGGAATCCGGGGAAAACCCCTGGAGGTCCATCGTGGCGAGAAAATCCAAAGCTAGAGCTCCATCTCCATTCTCTGCGTATCCCAGTATCATCACGTTCCAAGGGACGACGCTGCGGGATTTCACGGCGTCGAAGACCCGGCGAGCATCGATCAGGCTGCCACACTTGCAGTACATGTTGATCAGCGTGCTGGCCACGAAGATATTCGAGCCGATTCCACGCGCTGCTGCGTCGGCGTGGATTCTCCGCCCTTGCTCGGCATTCTTGGATCGAATGCACGCCTTCAATCCAGAAATCACGGCCAGAGCGTGCTTCTCTGGCGATCCGAAGATGCGCGACTGCGATTCCACTGGGAGCGTACCTCGATGCCCATCGCCGGGCGAAAGATCCATTGCTCGATCACTTTGAGCATTTCTCCAAGAACCCTAAAATATTTCTCTTCGTTGCGTTAGGGCAATGGGATGCGAAGCGCCTCGAGGCGCTGCAATGCGGCATTGGTTTCCAGCGCAAGATCGCAGGTACTAGCTGATCTAGCAATCGATCGATCACATTTTCTTCTTTCTCGCCACGCAGATCATCCACAGTTTAGCAGCTATCGATTTGTGTTCTTCTTTCGAGCAATGGGGACGCCACAGCCATTCTCCGGAGGCACTCCGATCAAACATCGGTGTTTCTCTTTCGGCACTACAAGCATGCAGCAAGCTCAAAGACTCAGAGATCGGGAGAAAAATCCACAGCGATGCCGCTCAAGGAGAAATCGACGCAAACATCTTCGTGGCCAACACGCTGATCAGCATGTACGCGAAGTGCCGGCTCATGGAAGAGGCGGCCAATGTTTTCCATGGTATCCAGACTCGCAGCGTGGTTTCGTGGAACGCTTTGATGCTGGGCTATGCCGAGAATGGAGAGGAAGAACTGGCACTGGAGCTCTTTAGCCGCATCCAACGCGAAGGCCCTGGACCGAATGCTCGAACTTTTGCTGCTGCTGGTAAAGCTTGCTCCGGTTTGGCGGTGAAAGAAGCTGGGAGGAAGATTGGAACGAAGGTCTTGAAGGTGGCGGCTTTGGAGGTCGGGCGAGAGATTCATGCCCAAGCTGCAAAGGTGGGATGCGACTCGGAAGTTTTCGTAGCGAGCTCCTTCATCGACATGTTTGCGAAGTGTGGAAGCATGTTGGACAGCGATGGGGTTTTCTCCAAAGCTCTACAGCGTGATGAAGTTTGCTGGAACGCTTTGATGCTGGGGTACGTCGACAATGGGGAAGAAAGGAGAGCTCTTGAGTTATTCTCCCGGATGGAAGCAGAAGGAGGATGCCGACCAAACGCTCGAAGTTTTGTGGGGGCGCTTAAAGCTTGCAGCGCTTTGGCGAAAAAAAAAGAAGAACAGGAGGCATTACGGATTGGCATGGCGATACACGCTAGAGCATCCAAGCTCGGGTACGAAAGCGAAGGTTTTGTTGCGAGCACGCTGGTCGACATGTACCTAAAGTGTGGGAGTCTGTACCATGCTTGCGTGGTCTTCGACATGGTTTCAAGTCACTGCCCGGTCTCCTGGAATTCTCTGATGTTGGGATATGTGGAAAACAAGGACGAAGAGCAGGCACTGGATTTATTCTCCCGCATGGGCACTGTGGGCCACGTCCGAGATGGTCGGAGTTTCGTTGCCGCTCTAAAGGCTTCCAGCGGTCTCGCAGGAAAAGAAGGCGGAAAGCAGGTCCAGGGAAAGCTCGTCAGAGTTTGCTCGCTGGAAAAAGTCATGGGAATCCACACTCAGGCACAAAAAGCTGGCTGCGACACTGACATCTTCGTTGCTAGCGCTTTAGTGGACGCATATGCGAAGTGTGTGAGCATGGAGGACGCTCGGAAAGTGTTCGATACTATGCCGCTTCACACGGTGGTATCCTGGACAGCGCTGATACTCGGGTACGCAGAGAACGACTGTGAGAATCTGGCTTTGGATTTGTTCTCCCGCATGCCGAGCCAAGGCTGTCCGCCGAACGTCTGGACTTTCGTAGCTGCACTGAAAGCCTGCAGTGGGCGTGCAGCAAAAGAAAAAGCTGATGGGAAGTGTGTGAAGACGGCGACTCTGGATACTGTCATGGATATTCATTCTCGCACGAAGAACGGTGGGATGGACTCGGATATCTTTCTGCTCGGCGCACTGGTTGATGCGTACGTGAAGTGTGGAAACATGGACAATGCTCGAGAAGTTTTCAACGGCATGCACAAGCAAGACACCGTTGTGTGGAACTCTTTAATCCTGGGATATGTGGACAACGGGGAGGAAGCTACAGCACTTGAGTTATTTGCAAGCGTTGCGGAGAATTGCCGGGACTCTCGAACTTACGTTGCGGCACTCAAGGCTTGTTCTCTCCTGGCACTCAAAGAAGAGCCTCGGCAGCAAGATGGCTCTGCGGGAAAGGTTTTGGAAAGATCCATGAGCATCCATCTCGAAGCTGCAAATGCTGGATTTGAGCTCGACGTTTTCTTGGCGACCACGCTGATCGATACGTACGCAAAATGTGGGAGCATGAAGGATTCACGCAGGGTTTACGACAAGCTTCCCGCTCATAATGCGGCACTCTGGACGGCCTTGTTACTCGGCTACGTTGAGAACTGGGAAGAAGCAGCGGTTTTGGATCTGCTAGACACTATGCCAGCTGAAGGAGATGCTCAAACTTTCGTCGCTTCTCTGAAGGCTTGCGCCAATCTAGCGGTGAAAGAAGAGGTTACCAAGGAGGTTGATGGAAGGCTGGTGAAAGCTCGGGCTTTAGAGAAAGGATCGGCTATCCATCGTCAAGCTTCCAAGTGTGAAATGGATTCAGATGTTTTCGTGGCAAACACTCTGGTCGATATGTACGTCAAGTGCTGGAACCTGGTGGATGCTTGGAGAGTTTTCAACGGCATGGAAAACAGGAACGTCGTAGCATGGAACTCGCTTTTACTGGGCTATACGAAAGCCGGGGAGGAAGGCTTAGCTTTGGAACTTATATCGTCCATGCAGTTTGCACCGGACGTGCGAACTTACAGCGCTGGATTGAAAGCGTGCACAGCTTTGGCCGCGAAAGAGACTGGGACACAGGTTGATGGGAAGCTTTATAAGCTCGAGTCACTGGACAAAGCTCTGGCCTTGCATCGCCAGTCGGCGGAGCTTGGCTGTGGCTCGGACGTTTTTCTGGCGAGCAGCCTGATCGAATGCTACGCAAAATGTGGAAGCTTGGTCGATTCTCTTCGAGTCTTCGAGAAAACGCCTCGCTATAACGTTCTCTCGCTCAACGCGTTGATGCTCGGCTATGTTGAGAACGGGGAAGAAAAGCTGGCTTTGGAGTTATTAGCCGCCGCCTTGGAAGGTTGTAAGCCGAATGCTCAGACCTTCATCGCTGCTCTCAAGGCCTGTACCGCTCAAGCTGCAAAAGAAGAAGGAAAACCAGTCGATGGGAAGCTTGTCAAAGTCGAAAGTTTGGACAAAGGCAAGGCCATTCACTCGGCAGTCGTGGAGAATGGCTATGGCTCCGTAGGAGTGATCACAGGCACGCTTGTCAACATGTACGCGAAGTGCCGGAGCCTCACAGATGCTCGTAAGGTTTTCGACAGCATCGCCGCTTCCGACCGAGACGTGGTGCTGTGGAACACGCTGCTACTCGGCTACGTCGAAAACTGCGAGGAGAAGCTCGCCTTGGAAGCGTTCTCTGCGATGCGAGCTCGAGGTAGCTGTCAACCGGACGCTGGAACTTTCATCCCGGTGCTAAAGGCGTGTGGAAACATGGCCTCCATGGACGCCGCCAGGGAGATCTTCGCCGTGATGGTCAGGTATGGAGCTGAAAACTTCCACACCGTCGCTAACTCTGCTGTGGATGTTCTTGGCAAATGCGGGAGCATGATCCACGCCCAGCTCGTCTTTGATGCTCTTGCGACGAGAGACACCGTGACTTGGAACTGTTTGATCGCGGGATATAGTCACCAAAGTTCCATCGCGATGGTTTTCTCCTCGTTCCATCAAATGCGAGACGAGAACTTGGAGGTAAATGGTGTAACTTTGGTGTCGCTTCTCACGGCTTGCAGCCACGCGGGGCTCTGGGACAAAGCCCGGCGCTACCTCGACGCAATGCCGCGCGTGTATGGAATCCGAGCTGGCATGGAGCACTACCACTGCGTGGTTGACGCGCTCGGGCGGGCCAACCAGCTGGACGCCGCCGTGGCAGTGGTCCATACCATGTCACTGCCCCCGACTGCGCTGACGTGGTTTACCGTCCTGTCCGCGTGTCAGAAATGGGGTGACTTTGAGCGCGCCAGCTTCGCAATGCGGTCCCTGCTGGCAGCACCCGGCAGCAGTGACGTGGCCGAGTCCGCTTACGTGTTATTGGGCAAGCTGACCGGGCGGTGACGTGTCAATGCGTCGTGTTTGCAAAAGATGACGTGTGTCCACGTTACTGCCACGTCATCTATCTTTTTACAAAAATATTCTTTTGTCGCCCTTGATTGAGACCAAAGAATGATGGGTTAGTGATATTCGAGTGGCATTGTCATCACGTTCGGTGTGGTGGGCGCTACTTACTTGGTGGCCGCGTTGACAAGGTCCGTACACCCGCCAATAAGTGAGACATGAGCAACAACACCCACAAGCAACACATCACAGCGCAGGGAACAGACAGACAGGGATCTTATTGGTGTCTCTTTTGTCTGTACGGCAATCACATACTTTGCTGCTAATTGCCCAACTAAAAAACCTGATTATCTCACCTGGTTTGTATGGCTTTTGGTGCGTGACGTTCGCGGCAGAATCTACAAGGCGCGTTGGGAACCGGGCCACTACTTTGTCGCCCGTACGGGCCCCCACGCGCCCCAGCCGGCGGCGGCCATGGCCACCATCCCGGGATATTTCGTACAGGGCCCGTGCCACGCGGGCGCCGACGTGGCGACACGGGGGCTTTGCTCAATCACACGCACAAAGAGGTGTGATAGAGTTGTGTGTTTGCGCGTTCTTGTCCATGGTGTTGACAAGAGGTTATTTTTCTCGATTAAAATCCCTTCCCTGGGTGGGGCATCCACATGAGCACATATGAGATAGAGAGAGAGCCAGAAAATGCGACTATACTACACGGAATCTTCTAAACAAGTGCTTCTGTCCGAAAGATCGTATAAAGCTGCGATTTTTTAAAAGGATGAAATCATCAGCCCGATCATGCACCAAAAAATCTCAGCTAAGCTTAGGGAATATACTACTCTCATACACATCGCTACACCTATGATCCAAACTATGCCATTTAATCAAAAGCTTTGGCGAGCAGTAGCTTTCAGGAGGCTCCTTTGTGGTGTTGACATTGACACCGTTACATAATTGCCACCACCAATTTATATTCTCTATTATTTATATAATAATAGTTATTTATAATGGTAATTAAATTACTGTACTCTATGATAACATTAAAATTAGTATAAATAATGTTTGGTAATATTAATTAAGAACATGGTGGAGATGAGACAAGCTAGCTATGGAAAGCTCTGTTTTCTATCCATCCATCTTTCAAGCCCTCTCTCCAGTGACTGTGACAAACATGAAAGAGAAATGGAGTGTGGTTCTTTTGGTCAACAATAGCGACGAATGAAGCGATCAGAAGAAGCAGGAACAGCAGAATTGTACTGCCATTCGTGTCCATCTGTCTCTCTCGCTCGGCACGACGACCGATCCAAGCTCACTTTTTTAGCATTCAATCGAGCCAAAACGAACGAACAAGCCTGTGTTAGTTTAGAACACTAAGAAACACTTAGTTCTCCAGCGAGAGAGGAAACGAAAGAGTCGCCTTATCAACTAACTAGATGCACGCTTTCCATGGTCTCGATCGAAATTCGTTACTGTTTTTTGGTTTTCTCGAGATGTGGTGTTGAGAATTTCGATACAACGATAGCTCGTCAAGCGAGAAAAGAAGATTGAGTGAATTGATTTTTTGTTTTCCACACCATAAACTTTCTCCTGATGATCGGTTGCATATGTGATCGATCACTCCGACTCGTTCCAGGCTGAGAAGTAAGGCATGTGTGCCGGGATTGTGGACCTCATCGCGTGCAGAGTTTGCAGCGGTGATGGCATCAGGGATCCGGTGCTGTAATCTGGCGGCGCCGGAGTATAAAGCTGATCGTCGTGCTGAGCTACGGAGGAACTTGGAACTCCGCCACCTCCACCACCACCATCCGAGGAGCTCGTATCGGGAGCTTCAGGATGATCAGCTTGACAAGAGAACGTGTCCAGTCCAATGAGGTTGCGAAGAACTCCCGGCCCCGCGGCACCAGCATAGTTGTGCTCCTGATTAGCGAGAGAGTCTTGAGGAACGGAAGAAGTTACGAGAGCTCCTCCATCATCACATATCGGTTCGTCAGCTGCTGTGGTGGCGCTCTGATCGTTCGCTGCGTCGGGAGCTTCCTTGTGCTTGATCCTGGCGGTGTCACCCAGTAGCAAGCTCGGGCTGGAGCAAATCCGCCTCAAGTCGTAGTGACTCATGTCGAAGTTTGTCACCGCGCTTGCACCGCGGAACTTGATGGCTGCGATGTCGTAAGCTTCGGCAGCTTCTTCTTCAGTACCTTTCATCGAAAAAAGGAAAACATTTACGAACTTGAAAGCTTTCGATCGAAAACTTACTGAAAGTTCCGAGGTACAGATCTTTATTCCCGGCAACTCGTCCGATCCGAGCTTGCCATCTTCCTTGCTGGTGATGCCTGGGAAAAAAGACCGAAGTGAAAAAATATATGAATTGATCATGAGCATTACCTTGTTACACCCCTGAACCTCGATGCACCTCTCGCGAAGCCACTGCTCTTCCTGTTTTCCAAACACAAAGTCACATACAAGCTTTAGAACACCACATATAAACTTTAGAACACCCAAAACTTTAGAACTCGCACAAAGCAAAATGGAAAAAGTTTCGCACCTCCTGAGCGCAGCAACAAATGCCTGTCTGCTCATACTCTTCATCTCATTTAACTTGGAGTGATACTCCACAGCCTTCAACACAACCAGAAAATCTGTGAGCTTGCAAAGAAAAAACTTACGTTGTCACATTAGTTCTTACCGGAAAGTTTGTAGTTGTCGTAGGCCCCCAGTACTTGAGAGCTGCCAGATCGTAAGCTCTTGCTGCCTTCTCCTCCGCATCATATCCCCCTACGCAAAACGCAAAGAAAACCACCAAAAGTTTAGCTCCACAATCGAGAAAAATTCGATAGATTACTCACCTAAGTACACTGGAGGATGGATCAAGTACCACACCAAAAACACCATCCAGATCCAAGGACGGAAAAATCACCCAAGAGAGAAAAAAAACCATGAAAAAAAACTCTCAAAACTTTTAAGCAGTACCTTGTCTTCCTTTCCTCGTCTGTCCTTCCTTTCGGCAAGTATTGTCCCAGAGATGAGCCTCAAAACGCCCAGTCCAGCGATGCCTAGCTTAAACATTTGGATCAGTGTTTCAGTTCCAGCAACTTAGAACTCAAACCGAGAGAACAAAGAGAGAATGTGAAACTATCCCATCTTTCTCGCTCTTTTACCTGGTCACACCCCGAAAGACCGATGTTCGCTGCCCGAAAGTATCGATCGATTTGCGCAAGTTGGGCGCCTTGTTCTTGCCGAGCCTCTTCTTGCTACCGGTGGTCCTTGGAAGATTGATGGCGGTGATGGTGGCGGACGAGGATGGCGGCGGTGGTAGCTCCTGGTCCTGGAAGGTCACGAGCGGCTGGTGATCGTGGTGGGCGGCGATGGAAGACGAATCGGTGTTGCTCGACTGTGAGCCGGAACTCATGGACAAAGTCAGCGACTGATGATTGACGATAGCGCTCTGGTGGTGGCTTTGATCCATGGAAGGAAGATGATCGTCGTGGCTATTCTCTTGCGGCTGCCTCAGTAAAGATTTGAGAGTGGACAAATTGGTAGTGCCGTGCTGCTGCTGCTGCTGCGCGCTCGTCTGATCGATCTGGCGGTGAGAATCGCTGAGAAGCGGCGAAGGAGGAGACGAAGAGACTTGTGCTCGCTGCTGTTCTGCGAAGGCACTTACCGGAAGAAGCGTTCTCCTTAATAGCTGAAAGTTGTATGGCGACTGCAGTGAGGCGACCATGGAGTTGGAAATAGCGCCGTATCTTGTGCTGATCATCCCTGGCGAGAGATGGTAGTGGTGATCGACGAAGCCGTGGGGATGCTCCAGGGTACCTTGGCCCATGAAATCGTGGTGCTGCATCTGGATCGGGAGCGCTGGAGAACTGGAGCTCTGGAAGGTGTTGTCGCTGCGAATGGAAGAACCCCTCTGGCAATCTTCTACCGGCTGCTGCATTACTCCTCACGGAGACATCGCGAAGATCTCTTGCTCTCCTCTCCTCAAAAACCAAAAACTCTCGTCCTCGCTCACGATCGAAGTAAGAAGGAAAAAAAAAAAAAATTAAACGGAGAGATAGAAATGGAAGAAAGCTGCTGTGTGGGTTATCTCCAAACAACAAAAATCGACAGGAAGCCAACAAAAAGTTCTCTCCTCTCACAGTTTTTCTTTTGTCACTGTGGAAGAACTAGACGATATACTGTTCCTCCTGCAACGAGCACACACACGCGAGAACAAAAGGGAGAAAAAAAGAGAAAAAAAAATCCAAAAGATTCGAATTTGGATCCGTCCTGATCCACAGAAAGGAAAGAACCGTGGATCCTCGATCCAGCGCCGAGCCCTGCTGCTACAAACTGCACAAGAACACCACACAAGTTAGTCTCGCTCGATTCTACGGCGTGGGCGGTACCTTCTCGCAGGGAAATCAGCAGCGCGAGAGACCCAATGCGACGTGCGATCAACCCATGACCTCCGATTCCTGGCGGGCTTGTGAGATTCTTGGCAAGAACACACAAATGCGAGAAGGATGGAACCGGAAGAGCAACGAAGCAAAAAACCGGATTTGGAATGCCGTTCTGTCACTCCTGATGTTGGATTTTGCTGTTAAGCTTGCGGCTTTTGTAGGGGCATTTTCCCACCAAAGGGATGAATGCCCACATCGAATCATTGCCTCTCTTTGACTCCATAGCCGCGCGCTACAGTGCTTCTCTTACGCACCGTATTTACGTAACAAGGGCGCTTTACTTTAATTACCATGTGCAAAGCCTTTCCAGAAATGGTAAAGCACGCATAAACACCCAATGCCCGGGAATACCTCCCACACCTTTCGAAAAATAATGTCGAGGCGATTGACCATACGATTGGAATCCGACGGCGTCGCGGGGGACACGCGCCGGCCTGTTGTGCGGGGAATATTCGCACGTGACGTGAGCACACCAGTGTGTACCATGGATTTTTTCAATTTGGAGATCTATGGGGTCCGCCTGGTACCCATTAATGTGGAGGTGACATGACAGGTTAATTTTTTTACTATGTAGCCTAGATATTTTCAGACTGTTAGAATTGTACCCTAAAGTGGCCCAGGGCGAAACAGAGGCCAAATCTGTCCGTACTAGATTTTGGGCCGACTGTACGGCGCGTTTGAAATTTTGGGGCATTTGTGTTTTTTGCTTTGGGAGCGCCCGCGCTTGCTGCCGAGCTTGACGGGATCGTGCGAGGCAGTGGAAATTCTGAGGTATGGTGTCGCGCTCCATGATTCCTGCGGGCTGTGTGACGGTTTCGCTCGATCGGCGATGTAATGGCGAGATTCTGGATTGATTTGCAGAGGAGAAGGTATGATCTGGAGCTGAGCTGCTGAGGCCGCTTAATGTTGTCACTTGAGGAATGAATGAAAAGAATTCTGCGAGTGTCGAAAAGAATCAAACGGGGAGTAAGTGCTTTAGAGCTCGCTTGCCTTCTTTTCTTTTTTTTTTCAAACCATGTTTCAAACTTTTTGAATGGCAATCAGGCCTCCCTACTACCAACATCCAGGACATTCTACGACAATCACAGGGATCCAGAGGAGAAAAAGACAGTGTGTGCGATTCTCGATCCTTCACAGGTAAGAAGGCACTGTACTTGACACTTTTAGATTTGTTTAATTGTGTGTGTGTTGGTAGCAGCACTGCAGCAGCCACGGGAAGAACTGGAGAGCAGGGACTGGAAAACACTTAGCGTTAAGCTTCATACGGTAAAGAGAACTGTTTGGACGTACTGATGCAGTGGGATGATGAACAGGAATTTTTGCGTTTCACGCATCAAGAGAGTAGCGAAACTTTGACATCCAACTCAAAGCGTGATTTCTCTTTGTCAACGAGCAAAGCTCCTGATCAGCTTCAGAGGTGTGTGAGATGTGGTGTACTCGGTTGTCAGCTTAACCTGAGCTTTCCATTGTGCAGTTTCTATTACAGGAGCTGACCAAACGCTCGGCCTCTGCCCAAACGACAAGTCAATCGATATTGTTGAGCTGTGGTTTTGGCTGTATCTCTCATGGAAAACTTCTTTGAACACTCGAGGTATCGTGCTGCCAAGAACAAAGATTGATGGAAGATGTCGATGGCTTTTTTCCTATTAGGTGAGCTTGCACTGTACGCTTGGTTGGTTGTTCTTGCTCACGTAAAGTTCCATTTTTGCGAGTTCTTACTCTTTTCTGTTGGTCTTGGTTCTGACAAGCATTCCATTCTTTTCTAGGGATTCATAGTTCTTGCTGTTTTGTTCAGGGGTCTCTGATGAACAAGCACGTAGTTGTGTGACTGGAGCGTCATCGTCTCTGTGCGTTTGTGACAATCGTCGCTCGTAACTAGACGCTGCTAACAGCTACGCGGCTACAAAGTACACGTTTCGAGGCCTGGCGCAAACACTGAGCTACGACATCCGGGTGAGCTTGAACTGTCCTAGATTCGCCGACACGGCACTGCTACACGATGGTAAGCAAAAAGATATTGTCGGGCAAGTAGCTGACTCAAAATATTCCTCCCGTGCTGGGAAGTCCGTGTGCCACTACCATCACAGAGACAGGAGTCCGGCCAGGGCGGTGGAGGCGATCAAAACTTGGTTCTAGTGCTGGAGGCTGCTTGGGCGATCGTCAAACTCCAAGTGATCATCACGGTTCTCAAGTTTTATATTCTTCGGACAATGATTTTCTCGATCCATCCATGCTTAGGTGGCCAAGCAAAGTGATCCTCGTGGATAAGGTACTTTTACTTGGCTCTAAGCTTACGCTTGGACTTATACCATGCTTTTGACAATAATCCAGGATGCTTTGGACGCTTGCAACTTAAATGTTCCTTGTTCTTTGAGCAGGAATAGATCCAAAAGTTCTTGACAGATCACCGTCTTACCGGCATCTCCTGACAAGTGTCTTTGTGAACGTGGCACGGCAGCACTGATCTAAATCCTTGGGACTAAACTGTAGCGAAGAACTCTCTGTTTTATCGTAGGTGATCGCCAAAATGGGTGGCAAATCCAGCAAAAGCAAGCAAGATGCGGCCGAGAACGCGAATTCGCCACCGCCAGGCGACGAAGATCCCTCCATCCACATGGATCCCAACAGCAAACTCAGAGTAAGATCACCGGATAGACCCATTCCAAAGTATGATCAAGAACCACCGCAGCAAACCGAGGGGGCCTCGGATGATTTCCCAGTGGACGCCGAGGAGGAGCGCGAGCTCGTCGCTGGCGAGGAGAGATTGGTGAAGATTAGTCACTCCCTGGTGCATCTCATCGACAAGGAGCAGAGTGTGCTGTTGGCTTCCGGTACGTTTTCTCTCGTCCGGCTCACGCAAAATGGGAACGAGGTGGCCGTGTTTGCGCGAGTCGGCAAGAAGTTGCAATGGCCGGTTCTCAAGGACGAGGTCGTCACCAAGCTTGATGCTGGGCACTACTTCTTCTCGCTCAGAGTTGATCCAGACGATCACACCGATCGCGACGATGTAAGTGAAAGTTCTTCTCGTTCTTTTCTCTGAATTCTCTCTCCCAGAGCCATAGCGAAAGAGAAAATCCTTCCAAGAAGGTGAGCGTCGAAAACTTGAGCTATGGCGTGACATTCAAGGTGAAAGGCAACGAGGAGAAGCTATCCAAGCTCGATGAGTTGCTCAAGAAGTATACTTTCTTCTCCAATCCCAAGATGATGCAAGGCGACGAAGGGGAGATCCGGGAGAAGCTCGAGACGGAGGGGATGATCAAGCCGGACGAGATCCAAGGCCAGGTTTTGGTTCCTCCTCCCAGCCTCGCGCAGGACATGAACAAGAGGCCATCCGAGACGAAGTCGAGATTGTACTGGACCGCCATAGCTCCAAACGTGGAGGATTACAACAGCAGCATTGCGAGAGGAGTGGCAACCGGCACTGGTCACGTAATTCGATCCCTGTTTTGGTGCAGTAACTCCACGGCGGCCCAACTTGAGAAAGGTGGCGAGTATGTCAAGAAGCACACCAAAGCAGCTAAGAAGCCCGTGCAACTCAGTCCCACGACGATGCGAAACATCAAAAGGTTGGTTCTTTTATTTTCATTCTCTCTTTCTTAGTTTTCACCAAGGCTGATTTCCTGTAGAGTGCGAAGAGTTACACAAATGTCCGAGAGAGTTGCAAGAGGGATCTTGACAGGAATTGTGACTGCAACTGGATATTTCACCAGCGCCGCGGTGACTTCGAAAGTTGGGAAGAAAGTCTTCAAGATGATGCCCGGTGAAGTCGCTCTTGCATCTCTGGATGCATTCAGTACGTAAATTTTGTTCTATGACCAATCAACTTTACTCTCTCTTATTTTTCTTCCAGGCAAGGTGTTTGATGCAGTGGAAATGGCCACCCAAAACATTCTATCTACTGGCACACTGATCACAACCGGAGTGGTGGCTCATAAGTGAGTTATCTTGGCTTATTTATTTGTATAATTTTTTTTATTATCTTTTTTGTTTTTATTTCTGCCAGATTTGGAGAGCAAGCCGGGGAATTTACTCACGAAGGGCTATCTTCGATTGGGCATGTGTTGTCGACTGCTTGGGTTGTTTCAAAGATCAGAAAGGCCATCAACCCAAAAGAGACAAAGCCTTCAACCAGAAGCATGGTAAAAAATGCGGCTGCAAATGCCATAATGAGGAAAAAATAGGCCATTTATCTCATAACATCATTGAAATAAATCTTGTATTATTTTGTATAACTCAAGAAATAAAAGAAAAAAAAGGAAGCAAAAATCTTTCAACGAATAAGAATCTGCATTTAGGGTTTATTTAAACCTGCTGGAGCCCTAAAAACAGAGGACTAGGGTTCTTGGATTTGAAATGGCGGCGGCGTCGGTGGTAGCGGATTGGCCCCCGAAGCGAGACGCGACGGCGCAGCTCGTCGCCACGAATCTCACGTCGCTGGCATTCTTTTGGAAGGCGCCGATCGACGGCGATGCGAAGGAGCTGGGATCCAGGATCGAAGAGTCCGCATTCCAGGTAGCAAGCTCCGGCGATGGCGGGGATCCCGTGGCGGCGGTGAAGATCTATGCTCGAGAGGCGAGCCGGATGATGCTGGAAGCGCTGGGATTCGCGATGGCAGGTACTGTAAAAGATGAACAGTGCTTCGATATTTCGGCCGGGCAGAGAGCTTTCCTCACCAAGGAGCTCGCGGAGGAGCTCTTGTTGCCGCTGGAGACGTCGCGCTACTCCAGGATTTGCTTCAGCAACAAGAGCTTCGGCAGGGACGCTGCTGTGGTCGCGGGAAGATTTCTCTCGAAGGTGAAATCCTCGCTACAGGACGTGGATTTCTCGGACATTGTTGCTGGGCGGCCAGAGGACGAGGCGCTGGAGGTGATGCGTACACTCGCGCTGGCATTGGAAGGGAGCAAGCTCCGCTCGCTAAACCTCTCGGACAATGCTCTCGGGGAGAAGGGTGTGAGGGCCTTTGCGCCGCTGCTAAAGTCCCAGGAATCCCTCGAGGAGCTCTCCTTCATGAACAATGGGATCTCCAAGGAGGCTGCTCGTGCTATATGCGACATCGTCACCACTGGAAGCTCTCTCAAGCTCTTGCACTTCCACAACAACATGACCGGTGATCAAGGAGCCAGATCTCTCGCGAAGCTCGTCGAGAAGGCTATCCAGCTCGAGAACTTCCGCTTCTCGTCGACTAGAGTCGGGGAGGAAGGCGCGGTGGCACTGGCTTCGGCCATCGCTGGTGGATCCAAGCTCAAAGTTCTCGACTTGAGAGACAACATGTATGGTCCTGGAGGTGGTGTTGCGCTTGGGAAGGCTTTGCGGCAACATGGCGGCTTGACGCACGTCTACTTGAGCGATCTAAGCCTGGAGGACGCTGGAAGTACGCCAGTTCTCGAGGCGCTGGCAAGCGGGACGCGGAGTATCAAGGTGCTCGAGTTCGGAAACAACGAGATCACGCAGTCGTCCGCCAAGGCGCTGGCGGCTTTCATTGCAGCGAACAAGGAGCTGGCCAAGTTGAATCTATCCGAGAACGAGCTGGGTGACAAGGGTGCTGTGATGGTCTCGGCGGCGGTGAAAGCGAGCTGCTCAAAGCTGGAGGAGCTTGATCTGAGCTCCAACTCACTGAGCCGGGTTGGCGCGCTGGCTGCGGCGGAGGCAGTGGCTGGGAAACCAGGATTCAAGCTTCTCGGCATCGATGGCAACCGCATCTCCAGCTTTGGATTGGACGAAGTCCGGAGCGTGCTCAAGAGCGGAGTGGGGATCTCAGTTCTCGGACCGCTGGAAGACAACGACGAGGAAGCAGGCGGCGATGAGGAAGATGGCAATGAGGATGGCGAGGATGGCCTGGAGGAAGAGCTCAAGGGATTGTCACTGAAGTGAGTTCTTAGCCAGCAGCGTGCTCGGACGATCCAGACCATATCTTTTGGGTTTCGATCCTTTGAGCAGGCCTCCCAGGACATTATTCTACGACAATCACACAGGGAAGATTCTGGATCAAGAAGGCACTGTACTTTAGGTTGTTTAGCTGTGAAGAACTGGAGAGCAAGGGCTGGAAAACATTCAAGCGTATGAAACTTAGCTCCAGACGGTCAAGAGAACGGTTTGGACGTAACGTAAGCTTAAACCAGCATTCGTGTTTGTAGTTTTTACTGACCAAACGCTTGGGTTCTACACAGACGACAAGCCCACCGACACTGTTGCTGAGCATGAACAAAGATTTGACGAAGATGGTTTTCCGTGTTAGGTGAGCTCGCAAAAAAGTATGCTTGGTTGGTTCTGCATGTTTTTCTTGCTCACGTAAAGACTATTGCATCGTCGCTGCCGCTAAATCCGTTTCTTCCTCCTTTTTCTTGGTTGAATTGGTCAGACGAGAATTTCAAGCAATCCAATCCAAATGCTATTTCTTGTCGTGGGAGTCATACTCCTTGCTGCCTTGTGCAGGAGGAAGACGAAGGTGATGGAGTCTCTGATGAACAAGCACGTATTTGTGACTGGAGGCTCGAGCGGCATCGGCTATGAAATCGCCAAACGGGCCCTCATCCAGGGTGCGTCTGTGACAATCGTCGCTCGCAACAAGGCGAGGCTGGCCGCTGCCAAGGAGTCGCTTCTCAAAGAATGCGTTTGCAGCCCCACGCAAATCGTCGCGGAGGTAAAACTTTTTGTTCACAAGCGTCTTGAAACTTTGGTGGTCTCCAGGAACTGGACGTGGGAGATTTTGCCGCAACCAAGCGAGTGATCGAGCAGGCATCAAGGTGGAGGCCGATCGACGTTCTCGTGTGCAACGCCGGCCTGGTGAGATCTGGACTCTTTGGGGAATGCCGAGCCGAGGACATAGATCAAGTGGTGAGAACAAATCTCCTGGGCTGCGCGTACTCGGTTCATGCCGCTCTTCCACACATGAAGCAGGAGCAGAGCAAGAGCAGCCATGGAAAATCCATCGTGCTCATCGGATCACTGGCTGGAATGGTGACCAAAATCATCTTTTTCTTTCTTTTGGGTCATGAAACTTACGTGCGTTTCAACAGTACACACTCTACGGTGCGAACATCTACGCGGCTACAAAGTACGCGCTGCGAGGCCTGGCGGAAACGCTGCGACTGGAGCTGCTGCCTCACAACATCCGGGTGAGCTTGATCTGTCCGGGATTCACCGACACGGCACTGCTCGGCGATGGTGAGCACACAAAGATCTTGTCGGGAAAGTAGCTGACTTGAGTGCTCGCTCATGGCAGCGACCACTGATCAACAGGTTCTCGAGACGCTCAAATCCGTGTGCCACTACGATCCCAGGGACACGGAGTCCCCGGCGGACGTGGCAGCCAGGACGGTGGAGGCGATCAAAGCGGGCGAGTACATCGTCGCCACCAGGAGAGTTGGAGGTGTCCTTGTGATGCTGTCCAGAGGCTTGCTTCCTTCCGAATCGATCGTCACCACCTTGCTCGAGTGCGTGTTCTTCGTCCCGGTCAGGCTCTTGAGCGTTCTAGTGCTGCTCAACGTCAGGAGGCTGCTTGGGCGATCGTCAAACTCCAAGTGATCAACCATCGCGGTAACCTCTCTCTTTCTCAAGTTTTGTGGCAATGTCCTTCTCGATCCATCCATTCCATATAATCAAATGTTCCATTTCTTCAGTTTTTTTCACTAGAGATGGAACTTTGAGCTATGGTGTGACATGGCTTAGAAAGTACTTGTGAATGGGCGAAAGTCCTTCAAACCATTACGAATGGGCCAAACACCTCCACTCATGCAAGACCATCGCGGCAGTCACAAGCGTACACTCTCGTCTCCTCCACCACCATCGCAACAAAAACGATGTCTACCTCTCCAATTTACTACTCCACGCCTACGCTCGCTGCGGCGCAATCCACCACGCTCGCCACATCTTCGACACCACCGCCACCAAAAACTTCTTCACCTGGGCGCTCATGCTCTCCGCCTACGCCCACCACGGCCAACTCCAAAACGCCACCCAGATCTTCCACTCCATGCCCGATCACGACATTATCTCCTGGACAACTATAGCCGGTGCATATGCCCACGCCGGGCATCTGGATCAAGCACAGTCTATCTTTGATCAGATGCCCGCCTGGGATACGGCATCCTGGAACTTGCTCCTCCATGCACACGCCGCTACTGGGCAGATATCCGGCGCTCTACTTGTGTTTGATCGGATGCCTTGGAGGAACATTGTGTCTTGGAACACCATGCTGGCTGCATATGCCCAAGCCGGGCATGTCGAGAAGGCCATGCACGTCTTCGATCTCATGCCGCTCCGGGACCTCGTCTCCTGGACAACTCTGTTAGCGATCTTGCTCCAGAGGGACGATATCGACTTGCCTGCCATGGAAGCTCTGTGCCTGATGATGCCCGAGTGGGACGCTGTCGCAAAGAATGCGGTGCTCTCTTCCCTTGCCCAGAGTGGTCGACTGGAGAGAGCCAGGGAGGAGCTCTCATCGATGAAAGAGACTAGCTTGATCACGTACAACATCATCTTGTCTGGGCTCCTCCAGCTCTTGGACTTCGATGCTGCTCTCACCTTTTTCACCACTGAGATGCCTGAACACAATCTCTTCTCCTGGAACACCCTCTTGGTGTCCTATGCCCAGGCTGGGGACGCCGAGAGAGCCATTGTGGTGTCAAGCTTGATGAGAGAGCAGGACATCGTCTCCTGGAACTCACTTCTCCACGCTCTCGCTCAGTCTGCTCGTGTTGAGGAGGCCAAGCAGGTCTTCGACGAGATGCCGCACAGAAACATTGCTTCATGGACGTCTCTTCTCGTTGCTTATGCCCAGCACGGGCATATTGACCAGTCTGCAGCAATCTTCGCCTCCATACCTGAGCTCGACCTGGTATCCTGGACTGCGATGCTCGTCGCCTATGCCCAGCATGGCCTCCTCGTCGAGACAAAGCTCGTCTTCTACCAGATGCCCGAGTGGAACCAAGTCTCTTGGAATGCGCTTCTCTCAGCTCATGCTCACCACGCCTCACAGCTCGCAGTGTCATACAAGATCTTCAACACGATGCCATCACTGGATCTCATGTCCTGGAGCTCGATGTTGGGAGCTTACGCCCAGGTCGGGCAAGCCAACTCAGTGCTCGATTTGTTTCACTTGATGGCTGCCACTGCCGAGAGAGTTGACGAGATTTGCTTCATCCGGATTCTTCATGCATGTAACCACAGTGGGGGCCTCTATGCTGGAAGGAATTGCTTCACATCTTTAAGCCTGGATTATGGAGTGCCTCCCACCAAGCCTCATTTCTGCTGCATGGTCGATATCCTGGGACGATCAGGCAGGCTGGGAGATGCTGAAGACTTGATCAATACCATGCCGTTTGTGGCTGATTCACTTGAGTGGACTTGCCTGCTAGTGGCATGTAGAAACCATAAGGATGCTGCTAGGATGTATGTGTAGCTTGGATAAATGAGTTTTTATTTCTGGCTTCCTTGTACAATGGTACTACTTTCTTCTCTTAATTTTTGTTTTGGTTTAGATAACTTCCAGAAGGTAAATTAAACGAGAAATAAATCAAATGTATAACTAGAAACTATCTATCATTGAAAAGGTTTTCATTTTGAATGTTTAATTGTCCAATAGCACTTGGTATCTATATATCTCATGTATCATAGAATTTCATATTACAAACATTCCAGCCCAAAGAAGAGCTCTCTACTGCATCAAAATTAATTATCAATATACACTATGATATCTCCCTAAGGATGTTGAAAGAACTTTTTCAAAATGATCTCCCTTGAGACCACTTTTGTGTAAATTTTAGGGTTAAAATTATGGTTTTGGATTAAAATAACTATAGCCATTTTCATTGACTAGGCCTTCAGCTGGACACAATTGGCATTAATCAAGAATCAAACTGAATGCAGTCAAGACTAATTATGATTATAATTTGTTATGCTTAAGGTGTGAAAAAAAAACAATCAATAGAATATATTTCTTCTTTAAGCTTATTGGTTGTGCAAAAGAATTTTTTAATATTTTTGCACACAACTTCCCCAAATACTTACTATACTTACTATGTGGTTCCTAAACTTAAGATATCACAACTTATAGCACTCTATCCACTGTCTTAAACTAATAGTCATTTATTAATTGTTAGTAATCTTTTGGGTTGTAACAACATAATAAACCAATGTAAATTTCCATCAAAAAGTTAAATACTTCAATTCACTAACTTAAGAAAAAACTTATTGATCCCTTGAATAAAAGATATGCAAAATTATCACTATAAAAGACAATCTTTATAGGCAAAAAATGTTTATATTCATAAGGTAAATCCAATGCTTAACAACATATTATGTGGTGCACTAGAGTTGACAATAAGAGTGAGATAAAAATATTTTAATATTCATATAAGCTTAAGTTTTATAAGCTTGAAGAATTTATTGTAGATGAGGAAAATCACAAGAGAGTCACTGAAGATATTGTCGATAAAATTAGAAAGTATGACTAAAATGAATATAGAATCTATAAGTAAAGTAGCAAAAATATACAATTTCAAAAGTATGATAATTGCTCATAAGATTAATTACCATCAAATCCACTTTATATGAAACTTGTTCTTTTTTGCACACCTCACAAAAGTAACACTTGGAAGATATTCTCCTAATCCCATTTTCAACCATTGTCATCTTCTCCTTGAAATCATCAATTTTATTTACATTTTTCTAGAACTTGATATAAAGTTTAGCCATTGCTCTTTAATCTATCACCATACCTCCTCCTAGAAATATGGGTATAAAAAACCAAAGAAGTAAAAACAAGAAGTGAGGGAGGAATGTAAAGAAAGAGTAAATATAACCTTAGAATAGCAAGTTGATCATTATTTTAGTTACTAGTTAGAAATTTCTAAATGAAAACCAAGAATACAGGAAAAAGATGTGAAGTTGTTATTTGATATTTAAAGTTTTCACTTTTGTAGTGATTATCGATCACTCTATCCAATCATGTGTTTTAAGATTACTTATCTCATGTATATACTCCAACCAAACACCACTAACAATACCATCCCTTTAAAAATTCATTAGTTGATATACTTTACCACCACTACCATTGGTGGCCTTTAAAGTTTTTTAACCAATAGTGACAACTATTTGTATTGCACCATTTATATTCTAGCAGTTTCATAATGATTAAAGAACAAATAGAGTTATAAATAGAGAACAATCATTAATCCAACTTTTTTTTTATTTCTATTTTAAACCTTTTTTACTTTTTTGATTTTTTTGATTTTTGATTTTTTGATTTTTGTTTTCTAGACTGGTTGAGATAACTTCTAGAAAACTAATTGAGCTGGAAATAAATCAAGTGTATAGTTTTCTGGTGCTTCTGCAAGAATGCCTCCTATACAAATAAAAAGTTTTACCTACTACAAATAATATTATGTAAAAAGGAAGTCTATAACTGTTGTATGAAGGGTTAAAATACCTAACCCTTCTTATGATTGAGGATTCTCACCACATGGTATTTGATGTGAAAATTCCATTGCCAAAAAATATAATATTAATTGGTTATACCACCACTTCAAGTATCATCACTTACTGCCTATGTAGTAATTGCTACAATCTGTATAGGTGCTCTTACTACATGGAGTTGAGCTTGATTATAAATTATAGCTACCATACTTTATAAACTATTTATGTGTTAAATTTCATACTTATTAAATATGGTAAAATTAGACAATGTATTATAATTCTCTTGAAAGTTGCATATTAAAAAACCACCACTAGTAACTATCTATTATTGAGAAGATTCATATTTAGAATGTTTGACTGTCGAATAACATAAACAAAAATATATAGTATCGAGATGTTTTATATGTTATGGAATTTTATAATTGTTCCAACATAAATAAAAGCTCTCTATTGCATCATAAGTTGGCTATCAATGTATATCATGGCCTCTCCATGAAGATGTTAGGAGAACTCTCTCAAAATGATTTCACTTCCAATCCACTCCACATTAAAGTTATTTCTTTTCTATCCACCTTGTAAAAGCAATGTTTGAAAATCTTCTCCCAATCCTCTTTTTAGTCCTCTCTTAAATCATTAATATTATCTACATCTTTCTATAACTTGATCTAAAGTTTAGCCACTATTCTCCAATTTATCACCACATTTCCTCATAGTAGCACGGGTATAAGAAACCAAGGAAGCGAAAACAAGAAGTAAGAATAGTCATTATTTAGAAATTTCTAAATGAAAACCAAGAATAAAGGAAGAGGATATGAGATTGTTACTTGATATTTTTAGTTTTTATTTCTATAGTGATTATTAGTTGCTTGGTCTAATCACTTTTCCCATGACTATCTTATGTATATACTCTAGTCAATCACTACTAATAGTACTATTGCTACAAAAGCTCACCATTAGTAACTATTTAATTTTTTTTAACCAATAGTGACCACCATTTATATTTCACCATCACTATTTTAGCAATTTCATCTTATATGGGTAGTCTTCCTTTTTGTCTTTTTCTCTTTTTTTTCTTTATTTTTCTAATTTTTTGCTTCTTATACTTTTTTGTTATTTTCCTTTTTTATTGGTTTATTTTAGATTGCTTGAGATAACTTTCAGAAAGCCAATTGAACCAAAAATAAATCAAGTATATAGTTTGTTGGTATTTTTGTGGGAATATCTTTTATATAAGAATGAAAACTTTTTACCTGCTAAAAATAACATCACATAGAAAGGAAATTTAAGAGTGTCGTATGGAGGGCCAAAGTACCCAACTCCTCGTATGATTGGGGATCCTCACCATATGCTACTTTTGCTATTTTTGCTACTTTTGCTATATGTAGTTGAGTACAATTATAAATTATAGTTACCATTTGTAAATCATCTATGTCCCAAATCCCATAGTAAAATTAGACAATGTATTACCTATATTTTAGTACTTATTCAAGCCAATATAAATTTTTAAACTTAGGCAGTGTAATCCAATAAAATAATCCTAAGCTATAAAATATAAATTACCTAATCCCTTAGAAGTTGCAATTTCAAAGACCACTACTAAAAACTATCCATCATTAGGAAGGTTCTTATTTAAAATGTTTGATTATCCGATGACACAAATAACAATATATGGTATTTAAATATCTCATGTATTACGAAATTTCATATTTATAACCATTCTAGCCCAAAGAAGAGCTCCCTATTATATTAGAAATTAGCTACTAATATACACTATGACATTTCCTTAAGGATGTTGAAAAACTCTCTCAAAATGATCTCTCCTTTGATCCACTCTATATAAAACTTATTCTTTTCCGTACACCTTACAAAAGTAACACTTAAAGATGTTCTCCCAATCCCATTTTTAACCATTGTTATCCTCTCCTTTAAATTATTGATTTTGTTTACATCTTTCTAAAACTTAATCCAAGGCTTGGCTACAGTTCTCCAATCAATCACTATATCTCCTCCTAAAAGAATAGATATGAAAAAACAAAGAAGCAAAAATAAGAAGTAAAAAAGGAAACTAAGGAATGCAAGTTTGAAGCGAAGGAATCAAAACTTTATCGGTCATAAGTCATAAGAGTTGCAATTGCTTGAGAGTGAATATCATTGAGCATAGTAAAGAAGTGAGAATCGTGAAAAAGAAAATATGAGAAAGCTAAGTTGGTCTCTTTGGTTTTAAATGAAGTAGAAGGGGAATTATTTAGTAATCACTAAGGTTAGACAAACAAGTCATAAGTAAATCTATGTACATGTGAAATAACTTTTTCTAGTTATACATATTAAGAATCTGGATGAAAGATTGATGAAAATATGCCATAAGACAACTTAAAAATTGTTGATTTAGTGGAATGGCTTTTTTATGGTCTTCAATACGATGACATTGGTGGATCTCACATTCTAGAGCTCAATGATAGGAGTGCTTGACTTATTTCATGTGTGTTATGTGATGTTGTGAGCTACAAGGCATAGTGAGCATGAGTTAAGAAGAGAGCATTCTAGAAGACTTTATTCCATTTGGGTATTAAAAAAATGATGAACTTGGTTTTGATGAGGAGATGCAATGAACATAGCAATTTAGTTGAGTTTGGGTATAAAAGTGAAGATAGGACTAGTCAATATCCCCTTGTTGAGCATAAGCAATGAGAGGCAATGTCCATAAAGCAATGTTTGTAGCACTTGCTTAGCCTCTTTTGAGCAAGAGTATGGAGAGCAAGTTTTAAAAGACAATATCTAGCTCTCTGATTGAACTTGACACCACAATAGCTCTCTCTACATCCTTGGTATGGGCCTAGGACACCAAAAGACATTTAAAGGAGTCTAGACAAGATGATGATGTAAGCTAGTCATCCCTCATCAACAAAAACTTTGATAACTAAAATAGTATAGAAAGAAAAAAGCAAAAAAACAAAGAAAAACAATTTTAAAAGTGAAAAAGGAAAA